GACAAAGGAGACTTCATTTTGTCTCACTGTGGGTTGTAAAAACCAATTGAGTGAGCACTTACAGTGTCTCTGTATGTGGTGTATGAATGTATAAATTACAACAAACTGTGAAATTGCTTTTCAGAATGTTTTTAACTTAATGTTATGTTACTGTTTTACCAATTTCTAAATCCATTCATAAGTAGGCTCTTGATCTGCAGATCACTGAATAACTGGCAAGTCATATTATTTCCACAATGATAGTATTGAATATATTTGTATTAAAGTGTCCTTCAGATCTCTTTAACGGCCCTGAAAATCCTTTTCTCAAGCAGTCTTTTTTACTATAAGTTACAACAAGTTGAGGTTATTTCACATGAGAAATTTCTGTATTTCTTTTTTTTCCTCATTGGTTTGAAATAGGCAGTGCTCAGTTGGATAGAGTGAAGTCACATACCTTTTTTTTTTTTTTTTTGAATCAGAATCTGGTGGATTGTTAGGTCAGTGTTAATCAAATCTAATCAAACCACACGTACACAGATTAAGCAGAGTTTTTTAGTGTTTTCTGGGGCTTTAACGCAACAGTTTAAATGCATCGGACCACCGACTCAGTCCAGAACCAAGTTTTGATGCACCCGACCTCACAAAGCAATGGATTTCACAAAAAAAAACACTCTTTCAGTAATGTTCAAGCCCGAGAAATTATGATTTTTTGTTATGTTAATATCTAAGGAGCTTAGAACAAACATACTTCTTGAATACAATGAGGCAGCATCTTTTATGTTAAATCCCATGCCAATTCATGCGTGAAGCTCCATGTGCACGAATTGAGAACTAATTTCCCCCCTCTTACAGTTTCAGCTGAGTGCCATGGTCCAGCTCTGCTCTGTATCTTACATTCCACACTCTGCTACTCCAGGGGTGCACTGCAGCTCTCTATTTGCTTTAGTGACTTGGTTACAGTGCCACCTTATCTCAACTCTTTTCACACCTCAATATACCCAGTGGTGGTGTTGCCTTCCTGCTTCAGTCAGCAAGTCCAGCTTCAGTTGGGGTGAACTGATGAACTCAGTCTCATAACAACTGTCTCTGAAGTGTGGACGTTATGGCCCTTTTCAACTTTATCCAGCTCTAGCCTCCCATATAGCACATCTTTGAATGCACTGAGCAGTGACAAGTAAGGCAAAAATCATATTTATTGATCAATGTGCTGAATACATTATAGCCTCAGCCATGGCCAAAGTTGCACTATAGGCACATAATGATAGTCAATTCCTGTAGGGAGTGGATTTTTTCTTTGAAAGGATGCCAGAGGGCAGACAAAGATGGGCTTAGAAGTGTTATAAGGACCTCACATCTAAACTCCTGAGGGTTTGTTTCCATACATTTTACAAAGAAAACTACAAAGCTAAAGCATCCGTTCTAACACAGTGGGTCGCCGAGTTTACATCACTACAATCTGCAATTTTCCATATACTCAAACTGCAGATGTTGTGTTTGTTCTTTATTCAAAAAAACACAGTTTTTGTCTGCCTTGATTCTTTTATGTTTTATCTAATGTTTGTCTAATATAAACTAGAAAACTAGATGGCAGCACATAGAACCTTTTTCTCTTAATTTATTCCTTTCTCTGTTTGTTGGCCTATGTGTGTCACATGCTGAGCTTGGTAAACGTACATAGCATAAATGCACCACTAAGTGGTGCCCTTCTGCCATTTCCTCCCTGGAGACAGACAGCGTTTTTCATGGTCTGTATATAGATTCCAAATCAAGGCAGTGTTTAAAAAAAACTATATCCAGCAGCAGTACTACTGATGAAATGCATCCTTAACAACAAATCTCAACAGGATATTAAAAGATCCAAGCCTTCAGTCAGTAGAGGAGGTCAAAGCAATCAAAGGATGGTTAGGGGCTAAGGGGTTAGGGGTTCAGGGGTTAGGGTTAGGGGTTAAGGGTTAGGGTCATGTAGCAGCTGCGATACAAAGAATTCAATCTGGACAAACAGGTAGAGATGATCTCTTGTTGTAAAATATCTATGATTTTATTCAATCGACAGCAGCTGTGTAAGAAGAATACATTTGTTGTTGTGTTTTTAAAAAATAATACTTTATAACTGTAAACAATAAAAACACCTAATACATTTAAATAACAAAAAGAGGATCAAAGTGCCAGGAAATTCAGACATAAAAAATGAGGGGGGTAGGGGGGATAGGCTATGTGCAAGAGATTTTAAAACATTCAGTAAAAGAAAAACAATACATAGGAGGAGGATTAACAAATTAAAGGACCCAGATTAATAACGTTACATTTTACTTTTCACTTTTTTTAAATTACACGAATCAACAATTGTATATGTTTTAAATGTAATTTGGGTATTTTCAGATTTTTTTTCTTTTTTCTTTAAATGTCAACGTTTCATACGTGATGACGTCGTCCAAGGATTAGCTGTCGATATCCGCAAAATCGAACAAGAACGGAAGTGAAGCATGAGAGAAAAAAAATTACATTTTCTGTGTGAAGTTAGTTAGCAAACGTTAACTTATATTATCCCTGTTAGAGCGGTTATTGGCTGAAGAACGTGTATCTGTTCGGTAGCCTACGGAATTAGACAGTCCTCCTGGACTAAGCCGTCACTTTCTCCGAGAACAGGAACAAAGTGTCAGGTAACGCTCACCAGGATAACGTTGAACAAATCGGCAAGCTAACGCTAACTAACTACGATATCTGTGTTATCCAAATATCCAATGTAGTCAGCAACGTTTGTAGATAACCTTAACCATGGCTGTTTTGCGGGTTTACATTATCACAGTAAAGCAACAACGCCAGGCGAACAATGCCGACGGTAACGTTACTGAACCGTGGCTAGTTACTTGCGACCAGGTGAACGAACTAGCTCATGTTTTGCTAATTTAGCTGAAACATTTTGGGGCAATTTAATCTCCAACGCCAGTTTATCGAGGTGCACCATCATTGGTGATCAGAGAATAATCACATGTGTTCTCTGTTGAGCTGCAGTTGCTGTTTGCTGGTCGAGTGGCACCAAAGGAGATTTCATTTTTAAATTGCTTTAAACCTTTTACAGTCAAGGCTGGGTTAAGTTTCCAACCGGTTAAAGCAGGCAACTACCCCGGAGAGCCTGACCCCTCGGGCCCCCTAAAGGCTCTGGTTGTCAGAGGGTTGTGTCTAGGAAAGGAACCCCTTTGTCAAAATACAGACCTTTTTTAAAAAAAAATATTTTAGTATTGTCCTCAGGTGGTTCATATTCTTTAAAAAGTATGTCTCAAATCATATTACAAAAGAACTGGTTAATATGAATAGAGCTCCCATGTGTAGTCTGCTGTGTGCGCTGTACTATGTTTACAGCATGACACCTATACAATGCACAGAGAGGGACCCTACACTTTAAAACGTTAGCATATTACACAACCATCTCAGCTTTTATTTTGTCTTATTCAGTTGTTGTTTATTTTTATTGTTGCTGTTTTTGATATATATGTTGTGCTCTGTCAGCCAGGATGGATCCAGCTCTACTGAGGGAGAGGGAGCTGTTCAAGAAAAGAGCTCTGTCCACTCCGGCTGTAGAGAAGAGACATGCTGCTTCAGACTCAGGGTCGCACAAGAAGAAGAAGTCCAAAGTTGACAAGGAGAGCTCATCAGGGTCCAAACACGGTGCGGGTAAGTGAAGAAGAGATTTTAAGAAATGAGTAACTGTTACAGTAAATGACCTCTTCCTGATGTTGTAGGAAGGAATACAATGTCTTTTAATCCATGATTCAGGTGCCCATCACCACTGTAGAAGTATTAGTACAGCTCTAAAAATAACCTTGTATTCAAATTCAAATGGCTTTATTGGCATAATGTAACACTGTACATTTTCAACTGCCAAATTGTTATATATTGGGCAATTTATATTATATTCTTAGCACTAATATTCAATATCTGATAACGGCCATAAATTGCATTGTTCGTCATTAATTTACCAGCTTATGTGAAGTTGGTCATTATTTTATCGCTTTAATACATGAGTGTTTTTCCAAACATTCCCACATACCTTGCATCTTTAGCAACCCGGCACTTTAATAATGCAGTTTACAGTGCTTGTAGACAGTTTGGGAATTGTGGTATTAACAATAACAAACACACAAAAGGAGATTTTAATGAAATGAATGAAATTTTTTAAATCATTTATGGATGTCATACAATGTGGTTTTAATATATTTCAGTATAGCTGGCTATATTTCATGTTTATACTGTACTAACACATAGGCTACTATAACTTCTCATAGATTGAGACCTACCAGACCCAAATTAGTCAGTACAGTAATCACAAATCAGGCACTTGCTTGTGGCAAAAGTGGCATCTCCAGCATTTTTCTGGGAGTTCCTCAGTTTCTGCCTCTTGATAGTATCTATCAGCTCCTGGAAGGTGGCATCTCTTTCCCCTTTTCCAGCCATGGCCACAACAACTTAAGGCCTAGCTTTTCCTGGAAAGTGCAATGCCTGTGAGATCTTCTGGCTTCCCAAGTTGGACATTTTCCCAAGAAAATTACTTGTATGTTAAAAGCAATAGGTTTGAAGCAACTATACAAGTTTCCCTCATCAATCATAACCTCTCGTTGGACCACTACTTGTCCCATTCAGAGCTCATGTCATCTGAGGTAGCTTTGTCATTCTCATGCTCCAATTCTGCTTTTAAAAAAAATTTGATTTATAAATGGCACAAAAATAAATTTCGCCTCATGAGCAGCGTCGGGTACATCTTCATTGCTGGAGCTACTCCAGGAGGGTTTTGATGTTTTACGTCATGAAAGAAAATGCTCTGCACTAAACCTGACATCTGGGTGCTTGCACCATCATGTTACTGTGACCGTAACCTAGTGTAAACAAACTTTATCATCATTGTGTTTGTATTTATTCATAGTAACAGTGAAATAACAGAGCCATCATGAGGCCAGTCACAGAAACACATTACCCACCATCACTTGCATCCAGCACACAGTGAATAAAAAAAGTAGCACTCGTACGGACAAAAAAACAATGCTTTTTATTTATTCAGGCATGGTTCTACCTTTCATATCCTTACTTTTCCTGTTCACTTTATTTGTCTGTTCTTTTAGCAGGAAAAAAACTCTTGTATGTAATTTAGTGACAATTTATTAGGCATTTTGTGGTAAGGCATATGAAATCATACACTGTGCTCAATATGACATGATAAATTACATCACTGTGCAGCAATCAAGTGTCACTTGTCATGAGATAATGTTGCAATGCTAAACATGTTGACAACACTGGCATACAATTTACTAAAGAACAGAGAAACACAGGCTTTATCCAAATGCAACGATGCTGTCCAAATAAGCTTGATCATATTTTTGTTGTTTGTTAGTTTCTGTTGGAAACGAGGATAAGTCTTTGGATTTGGACAGCTTTTTCTGTCTGTATACAACATTTTACATGTCTCATAGAAGCTCATTTGCATAAAGCAGGTCACAAGTACGTGCAGTAATAACAGGGCAGAGTCACTGAACAGGAATACTTGTTTTTTAAACAAGCTGTTATTGGGTCTGACTATTGTTTATTATGTTAACATGTTTCTCCGGCCACACTGTAAGTACTATTTCTAGTACTATTATCATTAGGCTACTTGAGAGCTCTGTCTTTCTTCTGGTAGTTTTTTTGGTGTAAAACGTGGCTTTCAGGGTCTGCCCTGTGTGTTAAGTGGTAGTGAAAGTAGATGTGTGAAGACTCCCTCCTAACTGAAATGAAAAGTTAATTAGACTCACTCCAAATCGGTGACAAACCGCCCTCTTCCTTTTTTACGTTGTTCTGTTAACTTATCTCGCCTCTTCCCTCCGTATCCTCCTAACTGTGAGTATTTGAGCCACTGTTGGGCAGATTTAGAAGTTCTTTTCTCAGGGCGTCAGGTTTAACGTTGTGGCATTGCCCATTTCAGCAATGAAACCCGAATGCTCTTCCTCATTTTCATCCTGGCAGACCCTATACCACCTCAGTGTGGGATTCTGGCTCCTTGCAAATGCTGGTCATGAGCTTGCTGCAGCTTCCCGGCCCCTCCTCCTGTAGCTGCTGATGTGTCTTCCCTTTAGCGCAGCACCCACAGTCCAGTAGCTCATAGAGCACAGCCAAAGCAGCCAGAGACAGGACAGTGAGGATGAAGAGCAGAAGGATGACGAAGCAGGCCACATTCCATCCGTCATGGAAAGGGTAGACCTCCTGGACCTGCAAGGAGACGTGGGAGAGAGGGGCCGCGTCTGGGTGCCATGGGAGATTACTTGGGTGTATAGTGGTGGTGATGTTGGCCATGATTTCTGGAGGAGGAGAGAGGAGAAAGACAGATTGTTAATGTTTGCGACAGTCTTTGGTCCACTGCTGAGAGGTGGTGACAGCTTTAGGGAGACCAAATTAGAGCATGATGGTTGTAAAACACTTGTTTCCATGGTGAGAGAAGGATTAGAAAGTGAAAGCAGTAAAAGAATTGCTCCTTAGGGCATAATATTTAGGAATCTGATGTACTAGGCTCCGTAGTGCCAGAATCTTAGAATAATAAATATTAAAAACAAAAGACTACAGACCATGTCCCTGAATTTCATTTTCACTTTTACGCAGCTAATGTATGACAAGGATAGAGCTTCACTAGAGACCACAGATGGAATGGGAAAGCCATTTCCTCTCCTGAAACCATCAGGGGTTCTCTTAGGTAATCTGCAGTAATGTGATTATGATAGTACAACATCGTTAACGGTCACAGAGGGTATCATGTTGTAAATGAGAAACTGTAATGCCAGTTTGTATACAAAATAAACCTTGGCAACAGACAGTGTTTTTAATTAAATAAGAAGACAATGAGTTATTAGAGGGAAGAGGTTACATTGCAAAAGAGCATAAACTCTACTGAGGCCATCTGCTCAGAACAAAAATAGACTTAAAAAGCCTGGTAGAAAAGGATAGCTGCACAATAAAATGTGGCACCTACACTTGGTTTGCAACTCTTCAGCTGTAACACCTGACAAAAAGAAAGAAAAAGAAGTTACAATCTAGTAATGAAATTAAAACCTGTTCTGCAGCACGCACATTGTCAAGCCATTTGTCTCTCTTCAGCTTCCCTTTCACATTTTCTGCTAAAGCCTACCATTTCAATTCCCCAGAGAACAGCATGCCAGTATCTCTGCCCACACACACACACACACACACACACACACACACACGTGCACATACTACATGATCTAAACACACACACACATATATTCCCAGACATTTTATATTACACACTGAGGCAGAGAAAGCTGACCCAGATTACTTGAGTGAACCACAGAAAAGAGTTGAGGAAAAGGGGCGAAAGTGCTTCTCTTAACACAAAGCTAAGCCTGTAAGGTTTCATTTATTTTGTGTGTATTTCTTTTAAGATCGTATTTAACTGGGTTTACTTTGTGTAAAGACAGATGCTTTCATGTATGTTTGTATGATAGATTTATGGCATCTTAGGGACCTGAGAGTGTATTTTAGTGCACTAGAAGAAATAGGTGACTACTCTTTGTGTGGTTGTAACTGTTTCCGTGTTACCTGAAACTGTAATGTGATAGAACCCGCTGTTGTAGTGGCTTCAATGCCTACGTTATAGTCTTGCTTTGGTGACCAGACTCAGCATAATACTGTATGCTATGGCTCCAATGATGTGGGAAAGGCCACTATCAATTGTAGCTTTGTGTGTGTATTGTTCTGTAATAATCTGCTTGGCATGAAGTTAAGTTTACCTTTTGTTTCAAAACATAATTAACAAACACTATTCCTGAAAATGCATTTGCTTTAGTCTGTTTTTGTGGCGTTGTTATTTAAAAAAGAAGAGAAGTAAAGGTTGGATTTGGTTTAGTCTCAAAACAGTATACATGTGTTTTATGTAATTGATGAATTTGTATAGTGTAGCTTCATAGCAGTATGATTTTATATTAGGTTAGTAAGCGGTCACACACAGTTAACTACATTTACTGTCAGCTGGTAATTGGTTAATGGAAGCAGACTGAAGCACATCTGTTTACAGTGTTTACAGAATATGGTGAGCATTTTGTGGTATTTTCTTCTCAGATGGTGCAACTTGACTCTCCGTTCCCTCTTTAGCATCCTCTAATCGCAGACCCAGCTCATAATATCAACTTCACTTCAACTCATTGCCATGACAACAACCTCTTTTACTAATTTGTCTCGCCTAATAGCACCCCCCCCCCCCTTTTCGTCCCACCTTTCTTTTGTAAGGGCAGTCACACACATGAGGACAGATTGGCTCCCTACAGCATCTGTTATCTCACCCAAAAAGAGCCCCACCCCAACCAAGCTCTTAAAGGTGTTGAAGGACCAGATATTGCTCTCTGGCTACACAGTGGCTGCCTCTCTCTCACACACGCAGACACACACGCAGACACACACACAAACACACACACACACACACACACACACACCAAACACATTTATACACTCCTAATGCCCCTGGCTGGCACCTCACAGCTGTCGGTCCCTTTATTGATTTTGTCTTGAGAGCTGCAGTTTGCACCGAGTCATGCAAGATGCACATGAGTACAAATACAGAGATAGAAAAAAACACACACACATAGTTTCTGGTGAATTTCGGTAATTAAGCTGGAAGAGTGCAGACAGCAGATCCATGTTTATTTAATCCGTTGCATCTTTGCTCCATCTTGGCCTAAATATTACAGTTAGCAAGATCTTTGCTCACATAGTATAAATGACATTTTACATACATAATTGCTAGATGTGGTGTGAACATCACCAGCTGTTTCTCTTATACATAATTAATTGGCTTCATATAAAGATCTGCTGCGTTTAGAAATGTGTGATTTATCCTGCTGGATCATTAAAAACCCCTTATAGTCATAGCTACACAGTGAGACCAAGAACAACCTACAGCCTGTAGCTTAAATTAATGCTGTGGATTGTTATGATCTGTTGATGCTGAACACACACACACACACACACGCACGTTATTCTGATGATGCTGTTAAGAAAAATCTGCAGACTCACCTGTGTGTCTAGGTTCAGTCTTCAGAAGATGCGAGTCAACAGATGCACTCTCCTCTTCTTGGTGCTCCACCTATTGCTCCGTCTTCCACTCTCTCCCTCCTCCGTGTTCACTCCTCGACCTGTTTTCCTTCTCGGTGCTCTCATGCACTCTCAGCCGTCGCTCGTGCACCAGCTCGCTCCCTCCGCCACTCCTTGCAGCTCTTCATGTCTTGGGTGAACAGCAAGGGCTCCTTCTCCGTCATTGGCTCTTTTCTTTTAGCCCTGCCTCTGCACCATTCGTTAACTGGCCTGTCACAATCCCAGTGTCCTGCCCACAGCGAAGCTCACGACAGCAGAAGCTCCCGCCCACACCATGAATCATTCATGAATCAGTGTCTGTTTTCAGCTTTGATTGGCGAGTGCCGAGTCCAGACCTCAGACAGTCTGCAGGGGGGGAGCAGCATTATTGGACTCCCACAGAGAATAGGAGCAGTATGCTGGACTTTAAGCCATTCTTCTCAGATTACTCTCTTAGTATCTCCTGCAGTATTTTTTGGTTATTTTTGTTGAAGGGTAAGGCTGGTGATTATTTTTCTTGTCAACAAATCCCACAAAACAGAAAATTTTATTCTGCGTTATTTAGATAGTCCGGCTACTTGTAGGCAAACTATCCTAATAAAGTGCTACCCTAAATTGGTCCAACTAACTAGTTTTGAGCTCCATTAAAAATGATTTTAAAACACATTAACGAGCAACATAGCGGCATTGGGTGACATGAAACCACTGTAATTTATTTTGAGTTAATCCCACTCTCACTGTCCTGCTGCCATAAACACTCACTAGCACACAAGTGTGTGTTAGTATGCAGTTGGAAATGGTCAACAACAAATAAACAAACATGACAGTTTGTGTATTTGTGGATCATGTACCTGTTTATTGAGATCATGTAATTTGTTTTAGTTCTTATTGTAGTTTTTCGACACCATCTGATGCGCTGATCATGTCCACTGATTTTAAACCATTTTATCAACAAAAAGCTATGGGTTCTGTCCGTCTATATAGTTCACTCACTCTTACATATAAATAATGTGACATTTAAATATTTTGCCTTAGCTGCTCTTTCTGTTTTTCTCCACAGAACCTGGTAATGGCAACTTTAACATCAAGACAAGCTCTGGGTACAAGTTTGGCTGCCTGGCCAAGATAGTCAATTATATGAAGGTAAGCCTCTGGAGACGTTTTTTCTTTACAGAAAAAAAAAGAACATTCTCCAGCAATTGAGAGGTGATTGTATTCATCCTTATTTTAGGTAAAGGTGTGTTTTAGTCTCATGGATATTGTTCGTTTCCAAGTTGATAAAAGCTGTCACAACAGCTTAATTACTAGGTTTTAAGTTTGTCGTCATCTCCATCAAAGCTCTTTAAAAGCTCGACTTATTGTCTGTTGTGTCAGTCCAGTGAGTCAGTTGTTTGTCATGCTGTGGCTCTGGAGAGCGGCAGCCAGGCCCTGTCACACTAGCTGTCTGACTCATCCCTCGCTGCAGAACTCGCACTCAATTTGACAGATTTTCTTTTAATGTGTGCATTTTTTGTGCCATCTGTTGAATACACAAAGGGGGAAAAAAAGTTCTGACAGTTGGATGCAAGGCATAAAATCACTATGGGCATTTAGCTATAACTGTGCTAAAGGTGTGGGGCTAAGAATTGCTGACACTCTAAAATAAGGAGGATTTTATACTTTGTTGATTCTGTATGTGTGTATGTTAATTTGTTTGCTTTTCTGTCCTTATCTCTCAGACAAGGCATCAGAATGGGGACACACATTTCCTGACCCTGGAAGAGATTCTGGATGAGACCAAACTTCTTGACATCAGCATGAAGCAGAAACAGTGGCTCATGACTGAGGTGTGTATACGTATTATATTACCTATTATTTATCATCAGGAGTACATTTGTCCATGTCCTACACCATTTCTTACACCATTGCCCAGAACAGTTACTTTCCCCGCAAGTCATCTGTAGGCTGCAACCACACCCTGTATGTTGCAAAAGGAGGAAGCCATTAATTAGAAGCTTGATAATTGGGTGAGATAACAGATGGATGATGATGCTGATAATAAACACACATTATACAACATTCGATACCTTGTGGAAGATACTCTTGTTAATAGTAGAGAACATGAAGCTAAGCAGAGTGACTATAGCTCAAAGCACAAAGTGTGCATGTTTCGGAAAGTGAACACAATATTTATCCTTTTTAATTTTAATGAGATAAAAGGCACAAAAAAGGTATTTCTTTTTGATTAATTATTTTTTCTTATTCACAGAACATCAAAGATTCATTTAACTGCGTATGCACATCTACTATCTGGTATCTGGTCACATACAAGAGACTTAAAACAGCTGCTCCTTCCCTTTCTGTGATTGTCAGGCCTTGGTCAGCAACCCAAAAATTGATGTCCGGGATGGGACGTACGGCTTCAAGCCTAAGTACAACCTGAAGGACAAGAAAGCCTTACTGAGGCTGCTGGACAAACATGACCAGCTGGGACTGGGGGGAGTGCTGCTGGACGACGTAGAGGAGGGGCTGCCTAACTCAGCCAAGGCCATCAAGGTGATACACGATAAATACAATTTATGCTAAAGCACACGAATGTCCGCGCAGCAGTGCAACCTAATGCATACAGTACATGATTGCTGATTTAATGGAAGGGACATACACCTCTGTCTCACACCCTTGTAACGCTGTGGTGACTGAACAGTATTAGCAGAGACGTGAGCTCTCGTGTGTTTTGCAGGCTTTGGGGGATCAGATCATCTTTGTGACAAGACCAGATAAGAAGAAGATCCTGTTCTACAACGACAAGCACTGCCAATTTATGGTAGATGAAGGTGAGCACAAGTCAGCTTTGTCAGTCAGCTGTGATACGGATCGCTCTGTCTCGCTCTCTGTGTCTGTCTTGGCTGTCTTTCTGATTGTTACTGACTCTGCATTTAAAAGATTTGGCTGCTGTAGGTTTTGATAATGAATGAATTATTTAAGTAAGTCATATAAAATGAGGTTTGAAACTGATTTCCATCAAGCACAGTCTGCATGCCCACTCAGCCCTCATCCCGCCTTCCTGTCATATCACAGTTGACAAAATGATTCCAACTTATAAATATTGTTCATGTCAACACCCAAGTTGTAATGATGACTGGGAAACCAGCTGTTGCTGAAGGTGATTAAACCCATATTGAATGGATATGGTGTTAAATTGACAGTGCACAGTATTTTAGACCCTAACTCAACCAACTCTTTAATCGTATAAACTGTTTTTAGCTTCAATGTGACGTAAACTTGTAAGTTGTGAACAAAGGAGTCTTTCCCATCTCTGCCATACATTACGTGTGACATGAATGTGGCATCAGACCAGGTCTGATCAAGCTAAATAAATGAAAACACTAGTCGGAGTGAGCCATAGAGGTGAAGAGCCTTTTCAAGTACATTTAAAAACAGAATGAGAAAGCTTCACAAAACTTCAGCTGGGTGCCAAGCATCATAATATATTGGTGTAATACAAAAATAATAACTCACTGCAGCCTGCTGTTGGCCGAGGACATACATCAATGTACCTGTCTCACATTTAACAGGATCAACAATCACTCAACACTGACTTTTAATCGTTGTAGGTTGGGCCATTTAACATTCTGGCATCAGACTGCAGATGAAAATCAGTCGACCTTTCCTTCTAGCATACCGACATTGTAATTAATGTTTATTAACTTGCTCTGTCCCTGACACATGAATAATTAACGTGAAAATCTGAGATATTTTGATATTAATTTTTTCCATTTCTTCCCGTTTGGTCTGTGTTATTTCATCATTGGTCAAAATCACCAAATAATTGTGTGCAGCTGTTTGATCAATGTGTTTCCATTGCAGAGTTCCAGAAACTGTGGAGGAGTGTTCCAGTTGATTCCATGGATGAAGAGAAGATTGAGGAGTACTTAAAGAGACAAGGCATCTCCTCCATGCAAGAAACAGGACCAAAGAAAGTGGTCAGTGTCCCCTGTCCTCCCACTTACTTGAAATCCATTCGAACTATTTAATGTACTTTTTACATGTACCTGCACTGAATTGTTTCACTAGAAATAAGGGCTATAATGTGCCAACACTGATTGTTCACATTTACACTTTATTAATCAAGCATGTTAATCAGTGCTGATTGTGTTTCTGTGCTCCCTGCAGTTACCGGTTCAAAAGAGGAAGAAGCAAGGTGGGCAGAGAAAGAGACACTTCAAGACTCACAACAACCATTTGGCAGGCGTCCTGGAAGACTATTCCGATGGTGTTCCTGCTAAGAAGTGAAATCCTTTCCCCAGTGGTTTCATGCCCTCAAAAGGAGTGATGTAGAATCTGTAAATCAGTCATGGCTGGAGACGGAGACCCTGGCCACACTACGATACAAAGCTAACAAACTAGCTTCTTTTCCTTTCTTTGCACTCCTCCCAGTGATCAGTGGTCTTGTCTTACATGGAGTGAATAGAAACAGTGTTGTAGAATCCTTTTTAGTTTGTTTATTGATCAGTGATAACTGAAGGAGGGGAAAGAGTAATGAGACCATTAAGGACGCTGACTGATGCAACCTTACTGTTGAGATGTAAATGAGGTTAAAGTGTGTAAATATGTTTTTCTTCATTTTATTTAGTATATTGCTAAGAGGTGTGTGTGTGCGTGTGTGTGAGAGAGAGGTTTTATTTGAAAGACCACCCATCTTTTCAATAGGAATTGCAAAAAACAGGATTGTGCTGTGCAGTCCATCTCATTGAGGTCTCTCATCAAGCATGAAACATCTCGGACATTACTTCTTGTGGAATTTCAAAATATTTAAATCCTCTCACTTTGCAGCACAGAGGCATAGTGGTTTAAAATATAAAAACTTTTGCAACTTATTTTAATAAATTACAGTGTTACAGTATACACGTTTGATGCTTGATTTACATGCACACTACTGCCAGTTCTATTAGTTGTCATTTTAAACGCTAACATTTAGGCGTTTATCAAATTCAATTTGAGAATCAATGAAAATACTTAAAATGTTACGTTTACTGTTGGTGTTTCTGTGTGGCTATACACTGAAAGCATTCTACTAATTCCTATGAGTCTCTTATTTTCAACCCAGTGTTGAAATTAGAGGGAACCACTGTGATCATAAATTACTATACAGTAATAATAATAATAATAATAATACATTAAATTATTAGAGGCGCCTCTCTGGGCACTCGAGGACACCGTACAACACACAAAAAAAACAACACACAATCAGCATTTTGAGGTTATTTAATTAATCATAGAAAACCTGACATCAGCTCAGCAAGATAAAGATGAAATGCTTAATCAGCTGTTGCAGCTCTAGTAGAAAATATTTATCAGCAAGTGAAAAAAAGTACTGATCAAGCTAGGTCCATATATTATAATTATATACATTCATGCTTCCTTCCAGCAAGATCCATGTAAATAAGGGTTTGGTAGCCATTTACAATCTGCCTTAAAATGTATTAAGTTAAACTTTAGCTAGCATTGTGGCCTGCTTTAACAGTTTTCTTCAGATGGTGGTAGTTTGGCAAAATCTTCATCAGGAAGTCGAGCTGAAGGGTCTGGGGCTGTAAGAATGACAAACATGTCAATAAGCTCAGGAAAGATAAGTGGTCTTTTCCAAAATGGTTTCAAAGTCAGACATTGGCTATGTTTAAAAATCTTGCACTAATACTTGAGACCACAGTTGGCTGGAAATGCCAAGATTTAAAGTGTTTGTTCTGAACCGGCTGAGTAGACTATGAATAAAAATACCCAGTTGAAATAAAAACAATTCAGAGCAGGGTTTACCCATTATGCACAGTGTTTATCTCCTAACAGTTATATTACGCATATTGACAGTCTGCGGTTATGTCTTTCAACAAAAATATAAATAAGCTTGACAAAAAAAAGGGTAACACATTTGACCTCTGTTCACAGTGTTGTGTCATTATCAGAATGATTATGTGCAGCCCAGAATTATGAAATGGACATTACCTTATCTATGAGATGCTATATACAAGAAGTGGATGCAATAGAACTGAAATCTGTACCAAACCTATGCAATCTACTAAAATACCTCCACAGACTGCAGCGAGTTACCATAGAGTAAACCTGTTAACAAGAAAATCTACATTCTAATGGTCCACCTGTAAGCAGAAATGAAATTGCAAAAGCTAAACACGAGCCTGTTTACACCCCAAACGTGTGCATCCATACCTGTGGTCTCTCTGTCTGAACCCGCCTCATACATCCAGAGCCAAAGATGACCGTGTTCTCAGGTATGACTTCACAGGTGTTGACCTGACAGAAGGCTCCAATGATACAGCCACTGGTGAGGATCACATTCCTACCGACGTCAGCTAGACGACAAAATAGAGGATATTTGATACAGTGAGTGACTTTGCTCATCTGCATATCCATCTTCTCTGCAGACACGTGAACACACCCTGAAAGCCAAACAAAGATGCACACATCCCACCTTTAGATTCAATCACGTTGTTGTCCCCAATTTTCAGGGCCTGTGATACTGTTAGTTGTCAGTTAAGGCTAAATGTATTTCTGATGGTTTAGACTCATAAAATGGTTACAATATGAAATCATTTGACTTATAGAGTGAGACTGGTCCAGCCACACTCAAAAGGATACCACAGCCAACTTCAAACACATTGTTCAAGCCAATGGTCATCGTCTTTGGTTCCACCTCAGAATCTGGTGTGATGTTTTCTGGATAACTGTAAAAAAAAAAGGTAAAACAAGCAAACTTAATAGTTATGATGATGCAAGTAAAGCTTGTTCGTGTAACAGTGATGTGCGTGTTATACACTGGAGGTACAAGGAATCTTAAATCACCCATTAATGATCAGAGCTTGCTCCTCGATCAAATTGCCTTCTCCGATAACGATGGGCCCTGCCTCTGCAATGATCCGAGCTTTTGGGTGGACTACTGTCCTAGGGCCTGAGAAAACACACAACATTTAAAAAGGTAAAGTAGATGTAGTGTTAGTCAAGCGTCTGATCGGATTTGAGGTACACAAATGTTCTGCCAAGTCAGCAGTATAAAGCAGTAACTTCTTGCAAGTGACCCAAAGCGAATTATCTTACCTATGGTGACATCTCCTCTAATTTCACTTTCAACACAAACGACGGCTCCGGCGGCTATTTTGACACTGCAAAAAATAAGTTGAACAGAGACAGAGGACTTTAGAGAAAACAGGGTGAAAATGTTAGCTAACGTTGCTAGCTAGCCATTTCACATAGTCGAGTCGTCTAAACTAGCGACATCGTTACTTCCTTGTCGCTTTCTGGTTTGTCATTTTGTTTATTAATAACTTGTGGGTGGCGGTTGAACTCGTCATTAACGGGCTAATATTAATATTACCTTTTCTGAGAACTTTGTTTATCTGCCATTGTGATAGATGGAGTCCGGTGGGAGGCGCCGTTCATTCACTCGATGATCGATTTTGAGTCCTTACTATGACTGTATATGCGCATGCGTCAGTGGACATTAAAAAACATGGCTCTGATGGCATTAGCGTGGTTATGAGGTTACAGAAGGGGGAACAGTTGAGCTCATTTGAAAAACTAGTCTGTAAAATAAAAATAATCAGGCAGACAAGCTTTTAAACCCTGAGGTAAAAAAAAAAAAAAAAAGTTAATTTATTGGGTTGGCTGGAAGTATGGACGTTACCATAGCAACAGACAGTGTGCGGACCCATTTAGGACCTGAGCAATCCATGTAGTGTGTCTGCCATGATCCCACATAGGTTTCCGTCCGGAAAGATAAAATGGTCTCAGGGGCGGAAAAATCCAACATGTCCGCTGCGGCTGGAGTCCGTCCATTGCCTTAGAGCTGGCTAAGGGGGGGTAAAAGTAACGTTTTAATTATTCCCCTAAGGTTGGCGAAAGGTATGGGACCAAAAGTACGGAGTCATAATTGGGGCAAACGTTACCATAGCAACAGAGTGTATAGAGACGAGACCTGCAAGAACGGTTGAACGTCATTACTTTGCGATTTCTTTCTTTCTTATGCGGCCAAAAGGGCGTCAGTCAAACTGGCAATTACAGCAAAAGTCCGGTTATCGTTCACCACACACCCCCGCCGAGGGCAACAAACAGGTAGCGTTCACCTTGTACTTTGTCCCTTATGGCTCCCCCTACAGTGTCAAAACAAGGAAGGGTCGGAAGTGGGAATTGCTATGGCAAAAGGGAAACTGAAGAAATCAAAACACTCAGCTTCTGTCGTGAAGTCAAGGCAGAAAGAAATGGCAGAAACAGATAAATATATGTTTTCCCTTGCTGCCATTGCTTTGGTTGTAGCTGTTTGCGTGGTGCCACTGACAGCTGAAATATCTACCTGTAAGTATAATGTAAAACACTTACAGGATTGTTGACAAGTGAAAAAGTAGTGGCAGGATAGCGCTTCGTACGTTAGCTAGGTTAGCTACAGCTAATTACCCAATGTCCAGCACAATTTATACATCACGTTCGACCCTTTAGGTGTTTAAAAACACCTTGCATCAATGGCACTGGCTTTCTCCAACCAGCAGAAGATTTGCCACGATATATATGTTGTTTAGGTATGTTATTTTAGGATTATGAAGTCGTAAAATCTGTTAGCTCGGGGCTAACTGCACATAAACGCAAAACAGCACCAACTCAAAGAAACAGCTGATGGTCCAACAATGAGCTCCAGTCGTTTGAACTTCCCTCCTGGGGGTAGTTTACGGATTAATTCAGCATGTGACCACGGGACTCTGCAGCCATAACTTCAGCCCTCTCACATGCTTTCCTCTCCCAGGCAGCAACGTTAGCTGACTGGCTGTAGCTCGCAGTCAGATCGGGCAGTTTATTGTTTTTTTTACTCTGGCTATCTGTCCAGCTACCACACACTTTGGTATGGAATAGGTTTCTCGTCCCTAGCGATAGCAGTGAACCATAGGATTGAGGTAAGTTACAGAAAGCTAGTTGCACAGCTGTAGCCTCTACGAAGGCATTCAAAAGCAAAGCCTCCTATATGATCTCTCTGGCTGGTATGTTAAGGTTGTCAACATGTAGCTGGGATTATTTTATCCATGTTGTACTCTAAAGTGCTGTAATTTAGCAAACAGTGTTATGGGTCTTTCTGATTACATGAACAATGGTCATAATGTGTGTTTCACTGAGCAGTGGCTTCACAGTTGGGTGTGGTCAGCTACACTGTTTGAGCATCTTTTCTTCATGCTTCCTCTTTGTGTACATCAGATTCATTTGCTAATGGGTTTCGACTGATCTGCACAATCGTGTACTGCTGATTCTTTCTCCAGCTGGCTTCCCTCATCATAAGCACATAGCCCTGAAGATGGATGAGGCATTACTGACAGTCAACAATGAGCTGGACTCTGAGGTGGTGGTGTCCTGGATGTCAGAGCGCTGCTACCAGGTAGGCTCACACATACCAAATAGTCTCCTCCAGTTGAGTCTGTGGCTGTATGACTTGTTTCAGGACAAGGATGCTGGTCTAATCTGGACCCTTGTTTTCCTTGTGTGCTAGTGTTTGTACCAGCAGCTCGGGGTGGTACCTGCAGGGTCCAGTCCTGGCCAGCCCGGTTCAGTAGACTTTGTTGTGAGCACACAGCATGAAATTACACTACAGCTCAACAGCACTCCTGTCAACCTGGAGCTCTGCACGTAAGTTTAAGAACATGGACATGTTTCATATACACCAGAAGTGGGAACATATATATAAACACATACAGTATAAATACAGGGGAATATTACCTTGAAAGCCACAATTACACATCTTTAGCTTTACCAGACAGACCTAGATATGTTTTACAAACACATTTCTTAGTTGTATATCTACCTAAATATTTCTCAAAAAAAATAAATAAATAAAATTAAAAAAATAAAAAAACAATAAATATATATATATATATATATATATATATAGTATATGTGTGTATATATATGTGTGTGTCTGGTTCGCTGTCTGGTTAGCATATCATTTTTCATTTCCAGGCTTCCATTCCACTTTGGGGAGCATGGGAACTACTCTGTGTGGGTGAAAAACCTGAATGACTCATCAGTGGTCAACTGCTCCCTAGTGACCCATGCAGACCCCGTCAACAGCTACATACGTGAGTCTCACTCACATAAACACAATCATAAGCTTGTATGACGTGGAAGTTTAAGTGTTTTGATAATTAAAAACAAAGAACATGCTACATTATAATAATGTGCCACTCTCTCCACACAGCGATCTTGGTAGCTTTTCTTATCTTTGCTGGACTGGCCGTGGTTTCTGCTATTGGGAAAACAATATTAGGGTAATGTAATTTTTTTTGTTCTTCGTTTTATACTAATCTAAACATCTTGTTTAAATGTAAAAACAAACTTAATCTACACATGTTACAGTGAAACAATAGCCTGATTTTCTTTTATTTGTTGCAGTGCTGTGGTATAAACATATCTTGCTAAGAGTACTTCCAAGCACAGACAGCCCCTGCTGCTGTATTCTTGTGTCTCAAGTGTGAACTGTGAGCTGAACTATATATATTACCGAATGACTCCTAAACTAGTTGGTTGCTTCTTGTCCAGGCTGGATGCCGTGAAGGGTATCCTCTTCCGAATTAGTGGCACCATGGAGACCGAGAGGCTCATCAACTCTGTGAGTGTTTGTGTACACAGCATTCTTCCTGTTTAACAAGCCTTTTGAAAACTTTTCAAAACAGATATTGAGTAGAAGCACAAAATTCATCTTAACCATTATTTGTATCTGTGTGCACAAAGTGAACTGTGATGATATGCAACTTTTATTATTCAGGAGCTGGGATCCCCGGGCAGGACAGGGGCACCACTTACTGACAACATCCTCCCTCCACCACCCAGCCCCAGCAAGAGGCTGCGATCTCTGGACACATTCAGAGGGTAGGCCCTCGTGCCCCCCCCCCCCACCACCACAGCAGCTAAGCTTGCTTAAAGAACGATATTAACTATACTGTATCATGTGATTCCCACTGCATTGTGACATTTTGGCATCTGACGCTGGAATTGCCACTCATTAATCAGGCCTTACTGATAATATTAACATGGATCTGGTGACTTGAAGGAGATTTTTTAACCATTTTAGCTGTATTTCTGTTACATTTTAACTTTGATGCATAATTTGAAAAAAATATTTCAGTGTACTTTTGCTTGTTTTGTTTGGCATAATCTCTTGCCTACAGTGCTCAATGCCTTTCAGTAATGAGAGATTTTCTGTGTTTCCTGTCAGTATCTCCTTGGTCATTATGGTGTTTGTGAACTATGGAGGGGGAAGATACTGGTTCTTTAGACACGAAAGTTGGAATGGTGAGCCGTACATTGTTCTGCTTTTAATTTTTAAATGTCCAATTATTCACAGATCTTTGGAAACTGCCTTTGTATTATTGTGAATATTTAAGCCTGTGCTTCCCCTTTGTCTCCTTATAGGCCTTACTGTTGCAGATCTAGTCTTCCCTTGGTAAGCTCAATTTCATTTTTCTTTCCTGACATTTATTTGTTGCAGATTAGTTGGCCCCACAGTTGATTTGGAAAGATATTTTAATACTTTATTATTATTATTATTATTATTAGTAGTAGTAGTAGTAGTAGTAGTAGTAGTTAATTTTTATTAGCTTATTCTGTCTGCAAAGTGAAATGTTCTTAAACAGCAGTTAAGGTTTAAACTTTCTTCATGGCAGTTGGACTCCATACTGAAACATACTCTGTCTCTAAAAAGAAAAGAAAATAATAAACCTTATCAGTTTTTTCCTTTGCAAAGCTTTCAGTCAAGAAGTATACAGCTAATGCTCATATTTTGAATGAAGCCTGTGTTTTGTACTCCTCTTTTTGTCCAACTTTTTCACACCTTGTATTTCCCTCCCCTACCAGGTTTGTGTTCATAATGGGGACATCCATCGCCCTGTCAATCAACGCCATGCTCCGTGCAGGCTCGACCCGCCGCTCATTGCTGGGGAAAATTCTTTGGAGGAGCCTGCAACTCTTCATCATTGGTGTCTTTATCATCAACCCAAACTACTGCCAGGGACCATGTAAGTATAAACAGATTAATTTATAGTTATAGATACTGGTTATAGATACTGGTCTTAAACTGGACTGTTCCTGCCTGCATATGTGCTCACACTCCTTAACCACTCCACAGTATTTTGGAACAACCTGCGGATCCCAGGAGTGTTGCAGCGGCTGGCCTGGTCATACCTAGCTGTAGCCTGCCTAGATCTGTTGGTGGCGAGAGGTCATCTTGATATCATTACAATGGTCAGCCAACAGCTCCATTTTACCCTCATTCTTTAAGTTTCTATTCAGTGTTCAACAGGTACAAGAGTTACCTAAAGTAAAATTGATAAATATTTCTGTCTCTGTTCTGACTGTAATCTCTTAATTATCTAAAGGGGAAAGTGTTTATATCTACGTTTTCCAGGATGCTTGGTGGTCTCCTGGTCTTGACGTCTTGCTGTACTGGCCGGCCTGGCTGTGTGTGCTTCTCTTAGAAATGATCTGGCTCTTCCTCACTTTCGCACTTCCTGTGCCAGGTTGCCCAACGTGAGTCGCATGGGTCATGTTTGTTTGTTTTTTTGTAATCATGCAATAAGGGCAATGTTCAACAACGAGCAAGGTTTTACACTTCTGAAAAGTATTTTGTACGTGTGTTTGGTCCTTATGTTTGTGTGAAGGCTCTGCTTTACCAGTGTCTATCAATACATTTTTTTATGTTCAGAGAATTGCACAGCCTTGGCAGAGATATGCACTCTAGGCAATGTGAGATGCTAAATGGCTGTGTATTAATGTCTTTTTTTCAGTATGATTGTTTTCCTAACAATCTATTGTAAAAGAATTGATAAAAGAATTAACAATTGAAAAAATAAGCAGAATCAAAACTTTGATTAAAAATCCCTTGCATGCTTACTTTTGTGTTTGTTTTCCAACCTTAATCTTGCTCCCAGTACCCTTTAACCTACAATAATTGATACCACTGATGTCACCCCACTCTCCTGAACAGCGGCTATCTGGGTCCAGGTGGGATTGGGGACATGGGCCTGTATGCTAACTGCACCGGTGGAGCGGCTGGTTTCCTTGATCGATGGCTGCTTGGAGAAAACCACATCTACCAGACACCCTCGTCACGGGTTAGTGACCAAGAAAACAACCCAAACATACTGACCGTAGTCACATTTAGTCTTTTTATCTCAATCTCATGGGCCCTGAACCCCAGCCATAGCTACTACAGGTGATGCCAAGGTAAACTATGTCAGAAATTATTCACCAAAATCCACTTTTGTGTCCATCTGAATTAAGGTGATCTATGCAACTCATATGCCATATGATCCAGAAGGTGTTCTTGGCAGCATCAACTCTATCCTAATGGCTTTCCTTGGATTACAGGTTTGTAATATCTATTTGTGTGGTTCTCTGCTGTTTATCTATATTTCTGATGTCAAAAATATATATATATATCTCATTGGAATAACCAAAAGGAACCCATTTCATATGTTTTAATTGTATTTAATTGTTCCCAGGCAGGAAAAATAATCTTACACTACAGAGATCTCCACACAAGTATAATGTCAAGATTCCTTATATGGGGTCTGGTATTGGTAAGCACATTAACTTGTTTGTGTATGAATTTGTTTGTTTTTGCTGAATAGGATCTCAATTTTATTACCCACATTTATTTCACGACATGTTTTTTTTCCTGAGCAAACAATAAAGTCTCATGTAACACACAGGGAGTCATATCAGCAGTTCTGACCAAGTGTTCCACAGACCAGGGCTTCATTCCTGTCAACAAGAATCTATGGTAAAGTTTGCTTTTCTGCACCTTCAGATGGAACAATGTTTGCTCAGCAATTGCTTTTTAGAATCTGTTGACTGAATATTGGGGAAGTTGCTGCAAGGAATAGAGTAGTTTAGTTTAAAAGGTTTTTTTTTTATGGTTGCGTACCAACCTGTCTGATATATTTGTGTTCACAGGTCTTTTGTTTTATGTGGTTTTTACTACTTTTGTGCTGGAATACTTTATTATATCTATGATACTGTTATTTTTTCTGCTGTATGGTGCGATTTGTTTGTGCCTACTTTTTTTATGTTTTGATGGACCAGTGACAATTTTCCAGACAATACATCCTGTAGTTCCTCCTTTCCTCACTTTGTTTTTAAATGTTTTAAAACCATGATATCACACTCATGTTGTATAAGTCACGTAATTTCAGTACTGTGCAGGTTTTACACATTGGTTTAATTTAACACACAACCATTTCACAAGAAAATACAGTCCAATATTGTAACTAGCTTAAATTTGAGTCACCATCCACGCTGGTGCATCGGATCATCGGCATATTTGTTAACCTTTAGCAAAAGCTCCTGTGAGTCACTTCAAATTACAGATGAGAAGTTGTTGTGCCATGTATCAAAGTAGTTTTGTGCAGTTAGACTAGAAAGCTCCCGTACACCTACAAGGATATCCTATGATGAATATTTGCAGTAGGATGTCTTTAACAATGCTGCATATGTTTGTTCATTTTACTTCTAGGTCTCTGTCCTATGTGACAACACTGGCCTGTTTTGCATATGTGCTGCTAGTGCTGGTCTACTACACAGTGGATGTGAAGAAGTGGTGGTCTGGAGCACCTTTCTACTACCCCGGTGAGATTTCTTGTTGTCAGCCATAAACTCAGGATTAGTAGACAATTTTAACAATAAGATTTCATTTCATTTCTGCCAATAGAGCCTTGTCAGTGATACTCACTGGACCTTTAACCAGCTGAACCTTCCATTTGTCAGTCAATCTGTTATTTGTTGAGGCGTAGTTCAATATTAGCACATACATGATTATTAAGTCTATATAATCACTGAACTTCTGGCACGATCTGCCTGTTAGGGTACAGAGAAATTACATCTAACAAGTTGACCACCTTTTGAGAGTATAGAGACTATTCGTTTGAACATCATTGTGGCCTTTGCTTCACTCTGACTTATGTGCTTGATTTCAGGTATGAACTCCATCCTTGTGTACGTGGGCCATGAAGTGTTTGAGGAGTACTTCCCCTTCCGCTGGCAAATGGCAAACAGCCAATCCCACACAGAGCACCTCACCCAGAACCTAGTGGCTACTTCCTGTTGGGTCTTTATCTCCTACGTACTCTACAGAAAGAAGATTTTCTGGAAAATTTAGAAGTGAGCCAGACAACAATACCAGAGGACATTGTTTACATCTGAATTGCTGGAGTTCTGAAATCACTTGGAAAGCGGGAAACAGGAGACTGATTTATTTTGTCAAAACTATGTTGATTCTCTGTCTCTGAACATCTATAGGTTTCTTCTTTCAAATAGCAGGTCTTTTTTGTTTTTCAGTGTTATCAATTTGTAGCTACTACTTTATAGGACCAAAGTGTTTAAAAGCTCAGATATGGAGCAACTGACCCCTGCCAAATATCTTAACTGACTCAGGAAGAACTTGTCCAAGAATAGTTTTAGCACTTGAGAACTATGAAGACTGACGTTGTCCATCTGTTGTTCGACTGTGTGTTATAGATGCTGGTTTTCATTCCGCATATTACAGCAGCGGGGTGTTGCAGTAGTGGTTTAATAAGCCCCTGTGGACTTCCCCTTGGGAGAATCCCTTACTGCCATCTTAAGCACTGTTTCATTACTCTGAAAAATGAAGTGGGTTTTTTTGTGAAATTGAGTCTTCAAGACCCACAGAGAAAAAGGCTACCAAGAATGATTGTGATCTTTCGTCATTTCGGAAGTGATATCTCAACAAGGGGAAACAATATGTTGGGGTTTTGAAATATGAAAGTTAAACTTCAATATATCAGTCCTCAATTGTCTGTGCAGACTTAACCATTGTTTATTATTCTCAGTGTGTAGGCTTGCTGAAGTGCAAGTGTTTTCCATTGGCAATCCACTGCCCCCCCCTCAGCAAGTGCCCACTTTGACATATGATGCTTCGTGTTACCAAGGGGAAGTGAAGAAGGTCATGTCAGATGACTATTGAAAGCAACTGGAGGTTGCTTGTTTGGCATTTGGTTAAATTCAAAGAATGCATGAATGTTTCTTTTTGATTAGGTTTTCAAAAACAGAAGTCACAGAACTGCCCTTTTCAGCACTGGCAGAAATTATTTGCCTTCTTTTGCCAAAAGCTGGTTATTTTTGGGTCGCCATTTTTTCACATTTTGTCAAATGTGTCATGAATTTAGAAAGAAATCTGTTCTACTGTATGTTGCCTGAGTACAGTAGTTTAATTGTAAGGAAAAAATGAGAAAATATATATTTGATGATGTCTTATCTCACCATAAAACTGTCGCCATTACACCCTAACTGTGCCCCTTCTACAATTGATGGTTAACATAAATAATACTTTTATTAACACATTTTGCGAAAATATGTGTTCAGTCTATAAGAATATCCGAATGCTGTTCGAGATTTTGGAGTAATTGCTCATCTAGTAATATCTAAATTGATGATATTCATATAGTTAAACTTTTATACATTTATTTTTTTATATTCACCATGTGATTTTGTTTATGTAATAAAACATATTCCAAAATCTTATTACTGTTCTTTAAGTTTTATTATAATGTTGTTCTAATCATTTCTTGTCTTTCAAATTCATGTCTTAAAGCCTTTAGAGCATACTGATTTATCTTAAAGAAAATAAATATTAGTCTTATAAAGGCCATGTGAAGAATTTATAAGTATATTTCTTTCTGTTCTAGTTCACGTAACCCTTGGTTATCTCACTGCTGTGTTTCTTAGCTCTTCTATGTAGAGAGGTGTAGTTTGCTTTATTGCTCAATAAGGCGTGGGAATCGAGTTACAGTGCGAGTGCCTTGAGAAGAAAAAAAGCAAGTTGTGAGGTTTCCTCCTCATCTCGCGATATAATCGGCCCATCTCCACTCATGTCTATTGTGAGAGTTTTTCCGTTCTCGCGCGACTTTGTAACTTTCCCACGCCTGTTGTTTTGGCGTCTGCCCTCTGCCCGTCGCCACTCCCTCCCCCTCTTCTCACCCCTTTGCCCCGTCACACCTCCCCCTCTTTCTCTCCCTGCTTTTCCTTCCAGTATTCCTCTGTTGTGCCGTTGGCTTTGGTTGAGGGGACTGGGGGAGGGATCTCGCGATTGTTGGACCTTTTCTTTTTTTTCTCTTTTTTTTCTTACGGGGGGGGAGAGTTATTTGGAAGATGGCGCCCGTTGTTACGGGGTAAGTGGTGAAATTCAAAGCATAATTTAATTTAAAAAGTTTTGTTATCTTGTGTTAAACCGTTGCCAGTTTGTACTGTTTATGAGTGATGTTTTATGTGTTCGCACTGTTGCCCTGGACTCAGTTAGCTCACCCCACACAGTGCTACTTGTGGCTGATGTGGGGTCACTTGTGCAAAACTATTCTTCGTAGGATCGCCTGCTTTCTCTGCCATTTGTTGAGCTGTCCTTGCGATATTGACTCTGTTTCAAACAAATTCCAAAACTTTCTGTCAGTCAGCAGTGTTGCGTTTTGGCTTAACTACTTCTTCTGTGCCTGTTTCATTTCTGTTTCAACAAGCCGAGTACAGCAACAATGTAATATTTTTTTTTTTTACAAACTACTCAGGCTGTTGTTGTTAACGTACATTACCGTCACAGCAGTTGCTTTCAGTAGTTATAGCAGATTATTGCAAGATTACTTTAATTTCCCTATCATTAAAACGTAGCTCAAATAGAGAGTGATCAGTTCATAATATGTTACAGTACTATTTATAGTTATGGCACTATTTACAGTGTATAATAGTGTAGTATTGTTTTACAGATGTACTTTTAAACTCTACATTATTACAATATTATATACTGTACAGTAGCTCCATTAAACTAAACAGTGTACACAAAACCGTGTACCATGTGTGGATCTGTGGTTTTACACCTTTATGTTTGTTCTTAACCAGCTGTGATAGTACAACCACCCTGGTTTAAAGATAGTACTGACATTATACACTCTGCCTCATTTTTTTCTCTTGCTTTTAGTCAAACTTGTTGTTTTAATCTTTGCTACACTAACTCAGCACTGAAACTACCCGTAAACACCTTGCACCCTGATGTTTTTGTTTTGCAGGAAGTTTGGTGAGCGACCTCAGCCTCAGCGTCTGACAAGGTAAGGAGAAGTTGATTAAAGTAGATGTTGAAACAATCTGTACTGTGCTGTCAAAGTGTTAACACGTGTTTCCCATTTTAGGGAGGCCATGAGGAATTACTTGAAGGGCAAAGATGATCAAACAGTGCTCATACTACATGCAAAAGTTGCACAAAAGTCATATGGCAATGAAAAAAGGTTTGTTAAAAAGCTGCATACCTTCAATTTGAAGGTGTTTGATGGAGAATTATATGCTGTTGAAAACACATGCTTCGGAATCCCTGTATGTTTTTTGACCTCTGCTTGTCTCAATTAGGTTTTTCTGCCCTCCACCATGTGTGTATCTGATGGGCAGTGGCTGGAAGAAGAAGTTGGAGATAATGGAGAAGGAGGGTTGCACAGAGCAGGAGGCCCAGCCATGTGCGTTCATTGGGATAGGCAACAGTGAGCAGGAGATGCAGCAACTCAATCTGGAGGGGAAGGTGAGTAGGAATTTATAATATAATGCCACAGTACTGCAGGAGTTTTAATTATATTTCCATGTGATAGTGATGGAAATCTTCACTGTTCACATACTCTTCCCATACCCGACTCGAATTTCGCAATATACAACGTACTTGTTCTGCCTCACTACTACCGTACAAAGTAACCACAACATGAAATAAACATCTGCTTCGCTTTGCAGTTTGACTATATCCTCTGTTTGTTGCTGCAATACCCTGTTTACAATGTTCATGCCTCATGCTTGTTTTCTTATTACATCAATGCCACTAATGAACTTCTTCTCAGAAGGGCACAAAGGGAAGTGAAAGGGGGACAAACAAACACACACACTCACACAAAATCCCCTAACCACTATCTCTTCCCTGCTTTAGCACTTCTGTACAGCTAAGACACTGTATATCAGCGACTCAGATAAAAGGAAACACTTCATGCTGTCTGTGAAGATGCTGTATGGAAACAGCGCCAACATAGGAGTTTTCCTCAGCAAGAGGATCAAGGTCATCTCCAAGCCCTCCAAGAAGAAACAGTCCTTGAAAAACGCAGATTGTGAGTTCGAGGATGTGCAACACACACAACACACACGTACACAGTAGCTCATGTAGTCGTTCGCTATCACTCACTCTTCCTGTCTTCATCTCCCCAGTGTGTATAGCTTCAGGGACCAAGGTGGCGTTGTTTAACCGCTTGCGTTCCCAGACGGTTAGTACCAGGTATCTTCATGTGGAGGGGGGAAACTTTCTCGCCAGCTCCCAACAATGGGGTGCCTTCTACATCCACCTCTGTAAGTCACACAGTATCTTCATTCCCATTGTATTTGATCCTGTGTGCCAGTTTCCTTTGTTTCTGTTTCTATTGATGTTAAACCTTACCTGCATAAAAGAGGATGCATACATTTTAATGGTGTAGTTATCTTATTTCATGTGTTTGTTGACTCTTTGCACTGACCTGTAGCACTTATTTAAAGGTACAGAAGGTTCTAGACATTTAATTCATTTTTGTGTTCTGTGTCTTTTTGTTTAGTGGACGATGAAGAGTCTGAAGGAGAGGAGTTTGCTGTGAGAGATGGCTATATTCACTATGGCCAGACGGTCAAATTGGTCTGTTCTGTTACTGGCATGGCCCTGCCGAGACTGGTATGAATATGTCTATAAGTCAGCAGACATGCTTGTAACTGTGCATATGTGTTTGTGTTAAATTGCACGTACATTATTTGTTTCTGTGTATTTATGTTGGCTGTGTTTGCCTCCAAAATTCCTCAGGTGATTCGCAAAGTGGACAAGCAGACAGCATTAATGGACGCAGATGACCCAGTGTCCCAGCTTCACAAGTGTTGCTTCTATCTGAAAGATACAGACAGAATGTATCTCTGTCTCTCACAGGAGAGGATCATCCAGTTCCAGGTGTGCTATCTCACACACTCAAACACACTCACATAGGTTTGAGTATAACGGGTTGTAGTTTGACAGGGTAGTAATTCTGCTTTTTGAGTCTGGTTCTTGTGAAATATCAGTTCCGTTTTTTCATATTGACAAAAAACAGTAGATGGTTTAGATCAGAAGTACGCAGTTTGTGGCTCCTGAGCTGCATGCAGCTCTTGAGCCAATCTCCAGTTGTTGCAGGCCTAAAGTGATTCTTACATTTTCCAGTTCTAAACATGTGTAGCAATCAAATTAAAAGAGAAAATGTAATCAACTAAAATGTGCTTCATACATTACGTCCTGACCTGGCACATTTTCCATTATATTTTGGCAAAAATGGATATTAAGGGTTGCCAATACTGTTGTTGCTGTGCACCTGTCTGTCTGTCTCTCGCTCTCTCTCTCTCTCTCTCTCTCTGCCTCTCTCTCTCTCTCTCTCTCTCTCTCTCTCTCTCTCTCTCTCTCACCCCAACTGGTCGAGACAGACGACCACCCACCTAGAGCCGGAGGATCTGTCCTAGGTTTCTGCCTTTTAACAGGCAGTTTTTCCTTGCCCTTGTCACCAAGTGCTTGCTCATGGTGGTACTGTTGGGTCGCTGTAATTAATGTTTTAAAGAGTTCGGTCTAGACCTACTCTATTTGAAGAGTGTCCTGAGATAACTTCTGTTATGAATTGGCGCTATACAAATACAATTGAATTGAATTGAATTGAATTGAATTGAATTAAATTGATCCCTGGTTAAGATTAAAATCTGAACCAAAGGTGCGAAGTGGGAGGAGCTGCTTGTTCCAGATTTACTCCCCCATTTTGTATTCCATTTTCAATTTTATTTTTTTTCGATAAACTTAATGCTACTTATTGGTATTGGAAACATGGGACTCTTCCAGATAATGTCATGTTGTCTCGGGTTTATGTTGTGGCTATCAGTTTTAGTTAATTCAACTTTGTTTCTGAGAAATCAAGTCAGATTTGCATGACAGACCTCTCTAAATCTAATACTCATGAAACTCAACCACTGTTGCTATGGAAAAGAAGCCTGCCAGAGGCACAAATCAGAGCTGTAGTATATTTTTCATTGCTCTTGGTAACAGATCACAGCATCATAGTTGCCACATTCATTCAAAATTTACCCAGAATTCGAACATAAATTGGTTTAAGCTGCAGATTGTATTATTAAGCTGCTGCTTCCGCCTGCTTTAAATGGTGTACGTAACACATTTTTGAGCTCGGTGACTTGACACTCTTGGTAGTGGTTTTAAGGCAACATAACCTGAATGACATAATGTCATTCCTGACTAGTTTAGAGAGTCAGTTCCATTTTTATGTTCCACCTGCTGAACAAGGTAGGTAGAGAGAACAAACTAGGAGTTTGAATCTGTACAAATCATCACCTTATTGCCCAAAGCAAAAATGCATTTTGGGAGTTGTAGTCATTGTACGTTTTTATGTAAACAAGCTTGTACCTTCAACTTTTTATCCAGATATTTTCTACCATAGTTGTTTATCTTGAAGGGTTTCATGCTGATTCATGCCAGGATAAGTGCTAAGTCACCTAACATTGTTTGTGGCGGAAATTAATTGAATTCCCACTTCACAGGTTTACGATGAAAATTCATGATAAAATCCACAAGATTAAACACATGCCAAAAAGGCACATTTTATGATCTGAAATGTGGCTCACTTTTTAATATTCAGCTTGTTTAAACTGTTTTTTGTAGAAAAGGAAATATGGAAAGTTAATATTGTTACAGGCAATTAAGAATGTATAAGCTTTCAGTATGAAACCTCTGTGATGTTTCTGTCGGTGGCTTTTTTCAAAAAAGTGTTATTGTGAGCTGGGATACTGCTACTGTTTCTGCCTGTTGACAACAGGATAATAACCTGTTTGCTGAGAGCATTGCCTACCAGCAAGTACGTGTTGTGAAATTAGTACTCACACAAGAGGTCTAGCCAATTGTTTTAATGAGCGTTCCAGGGCAAGAGAGGAGAAGTCTAATCTGTGTCCCTGTCATTGGCAAGCTCCTACCTGACACTATGCTAGCTAAAGAAAGAAGTGTTTTTCTCCCTGTTACATATAAATGTGGAAAATGTATTGCTATGTTTTTTTGTTGTTGTTTTCCAGGCCACAGCTTGCTCCAAAGAGACTAACAAGGAAATTATTAATGATGGGGCTTCCTGGACTATCATTAGCACTGACAAGGCAGAATACACCTTTTATGAGGGTATGGGCCCCGTCCTCACACCTGTCACACCTGTCCCTGTGGTGGAAAGTCTACAGGTACGCACACAGCCTATCCTTTGGAAAATATGCTTGTAATGTTTTTTTTTTATCAACAAACATGAGTGCCACTGATTACCAACTACTTCCTCTTTAAGTTTTTACTCAGCTTGTGGAGACCTTTTAAAGACACAAAACCTCTTCTCTATGTCTGTGTCAAGTTAAACGGTGGAGGCGATGTAGCAATGTTGGAGCTGACAGGGCAGAACTTCACCCCTAACCTCAGAGTGTGGTTCGGAGATGTGGAGGCTGACACCATGTACAGGTGAGGTGTTTATGTCCATGAGCGCAGATTAGTGCGTACTGGCTCGAGTACTGAAACCCTCGTCTCATCCGACTGTCCCCTTAGGTGTGGCGAGAGTGTCCTCTGCGTGGTGCCAGACATTTCTGCCTTCAGGGAGGGCTGGCGCTGGGTGAGACAGCCGGTTCAGGTTCCCGTCACACTGGTCCGCAATGATGGGATCATCTACGCCACCGCCCTCACCTTTACTTACACCCCTGAACCGGGGCCCCGGCCCCACTGCAGTGCCGCCGGAGCCATTCTGCGCTCACATAGCACCTCTTCATCGTCACCAGCATCTTCATCTTCACCGTCATCCTCGTTGGGCGGGCTCACGGACGGCCAAGGGGCTTACAACAGTAGTGACTCAGGCATGTCATCGGGGGCATCCAACATGTCAGCGCTGTCATTTGATTTGATTTGACTTTATTATCAGAATATTCTTCAGAAATTTGTCTTGTGTCACAGGGCATACACTGTTTCACATAAATAACAAAACACAAGATTTACCCAGACAGCAAAACAAATATTGCAACATATATTACATTAGATGTTACGAATAAGTGGCTGCAGTGCATCAATTTAATCACTCCCTTTAGCATACAGTGCTTTGTCCGCACAGGAACACAGAGGCCTACTCAGAAACCCAAACTCTGATGTAACAGTTTGACAGACGGAGAAACAAAAGAGTTCTGCAGTCTGTCCTGTTGAGCCTGTGGGATCCTAAATCTTCTGTTCGATGGCTGAAGCCGATATTCAAATAAAATACGAGAGAGGTCGGATGCATTACTCGCCAGAGACAACGTGCAGCTTAAAAACTTGACTCAAGCGTTTGACCCACAATCTTGAGCAGATACGTAGCAGTCTAGCCGGTCGAGCTTTAAACTGAACAGAGACAGCCGTACAGCGCACTGATTCCACACTGCATACCACTCTGTATTATAGATTGGGGGGAAAAAATAACAGAATCTGTTCGTTTGCTCCAAATGACCCTAGCCTCCTAAGAAAGTAAATGCGTCATTGTACCTTGCTACAAATATAATCTATATGTGCACTCCAGGAGTGATGGTAAGACTTATTCTGTATATGTGTTGTATGTATGCTTTGAATGACTGAGTGGGAAAATGTGTACATGTACTTTCCAAAGAGGCTCATGGACCTGTGAGTAATTGCACACACACTGCAGACTCAGAAACTCTTTGATCAGAGAGCAACTGTGATCAACAGGAATGCTAAAGAGAGATGGGGGGGGGAGGTTAAGGACAACACTTGACTGAATCCTCTCTTTAGCTCCCTCTCGTGGCTTGTTGTGGACATGTCAAAAGCCTCACTAAAAAGGACCTTGAGATCCAAGACCTTCATCTAAAAGAAGATGAATCTGCCGTCTAACTCTCACAACATGCCTGATTTGTACAATTTTTGTACTTTATTTTTTTTTTTATATATATATATACGCCTGTGGGTTTGGAAGCTATTTCACTATGCTGTCTTTCTACCAAGGTCATGTTTGTACTGAAGAGCTTGTTGATTTATCTGTTGTGTGCAAGGGAAAATTTGTTGTAAGAGTAACATAGTTTTTACGGACCAAGGAATATTATTATATTATTTTATTCATATTATATTTTATAAGCTTTTGCCGAGGTACATTTTGACATTTTTGTATGATACTGCATAGTAAGGTTCACTTTTGTTACCAAATAGAATTTTTGTCATGTTGACTCCTATTTGAGTTTTGCCTCATTGGGGTGGTAGAGGTGGAAATGGCCTGTTAGTACGTCTCTTAATAGTCCGACTGCAGCTCTTCTGTTTTTCTCATCTTTCTTTGATCTTCACTCGTGTTTTGGAACTAGATTTCCAAATTACTTAACAGTCATTACAGCAATTTTACATGGTGTATAACAATGGAAAAAGAAATGACTGAACTACAGTTGTTGGGAGACTCATCAGACATTTAAGATGTGGATATGTGCCCGCAGTTATTGACATAGCTACCTTAGCTGATCAGTCACAAAATACTTTTTATATCAAATCACATTTTTAATGAGTGTAGTGTATGTGTGGGATATTATGTAATACACTTATCAGTGTATTCTGGGAGATCAAGGCCTGTGTTTTCTAATCAGCATGCTTTTTTTGTGCCTAAACTCAAATCTAAACATAATCACTACCTATTTTACCATAGCTATGTACACAGCAGTGCAGTTTATGTAGAAATCACTGCTAAGTCGAGGGACAAAGAGAGAAAGTTAAAACTAATATCTTGTCTAGTCATGTTCAAGACATCAGTCCGTGCAAGGGGCTTTACATTTCCTTTTTGAGTTTGAGCTTTTTTGTTTGAGGAAGAGCTTTAATAACATTGTCTCTGCCTTTTAGCTCGTAGCACTGTCCTCACAGTCCACCTACGCTCAGTAACGTCAGATACTTTGGATTTAATCTTGGTCAATCTTGTTTTGTCAAACGTGCCATCTGACTGCAATTACAGTAGAACTCACTGTAATACAACCAGCAGTGGTTGTGCTTTGGGTCTTATGCAATAAGGTGATGATTTGTACAGATTCAAACTCCTAGTTTGTTCTCTCTACCTACCTTGTTCAGCAGGTGGAACATAAAAATGGAACTGACTCACTAAACTAGTCAGGAATGACATTATGTCATTCAGGTTATGTTGCCTTAAAACCACTACCAAGAGTATCTGACTGAAAACTTCAGATGTCTCCTGATCCTGATTTCCATCATGCTTTTTGTATCATACTGTATATCATGTTTCAAGATTGAGTTTTGAGTAAATTTGCCAGGTGGATGCGTTCATGATGATGATGTATATCACTTAATTTCTTGTGTTTTCAGCATGTCTAGGAGTAGATTTATGGTCGTATGGCTAAAGTATTTACATCACAACAAACCAGCGACACCTCTTTGTGGTACCATTGCGTCCCATCTGAACAAGCTTTGTGTCCATTTACAGTGCACAACAGTGAAATGCATGCATCATCTCCAGATTTAATTCAGTGTTTATTACATCTGATTCTGCAGAGGTGGAGGGAAGTGGCATTTTGGTCACCTGGAAAAATCCCAAATTGTACTGTAACTGTATCTACAACTGTGCAGCAACTGTGCCTTACTTTGATGTTTTGGTCAGTCATTATGTACCACTCACAATATCTACAAGGACATGTGTGACGCACATTAGAACTGTCATAAGGTCAACTGTGAGCTAGCACGCTAATTCAGCCTCATGTTGTCATACCGGCAGCTTAATGGGCATTTTCATTGCTCTTCAGTGTTTATGAAGTGTCTTTATTCTCATATCCTGCCTTTAGTTTCTCACTGCTCTTTCCCTATATGATGCCAGTCTTCCATCTTTTCAGTCTTGTTCATTGCTTTTGAAGTTTTATCTGCCAAGGTTCTTCAGTGTCATGAAGGTCATTAATAAAAACAAGTTGAAGTTGAATATCACTTGTGTTCTGGTGGCTGTTTGTTTCATCGAGTTTGGCATTTTCTTCTTCTCCTTTCTCTGTCTCATAATCACCAATGAGGTTGGATGCAATCCTGTAAAATGCACATATATTGTATCCTCACTCGGATACTGCCGAGGCCTTTTTGGACACTCGCCACTTGGGCATGCTCCACTGGGTAGAGGTCAAATCTGCCCCACTATTTTTAAACTGTGAGCCGAATTGCTGGAATGAAAGCTGACACTTGGTTACTGTTTAAGTCTGTGTGTGTGTGTGTGTGTGTGTGTGTGTGTGTGTATTATGTGTCCCTCACTCCTCACGTTTTAATAATTTAGTTTAATTTAGTTAAAAGAGGCATACTGTGTGTCTGCGTTTGCAAGTGTGATGAAGAAACCGACACCCACACCAGAACCCCCCATGAACAGGTGCACAAACATTTACTAAGTCCCACCATGGTTTGAAGATCTGTGAACAAGGATACAACTGTCAGACCCAGACAGCCCGGCCATATGACATGCTATTCCTGGCATGATAGTCTAGATCTCAAGCAACACAGTGAGGCCTGAGGGGCTTTAATTGATCCCCCCCACCCAAACCAGAATCAGCAAAGCCACAAAACCAGAAAGGGTAGCAAAAATCAAGTGGGAGAGACTGTTTGGTTCCAGTATTGCGCACTCTGAGCAGTTGCTCAGCTCTGTTACAAATGGTCGGCCAAACGTATCCAAAAACTGCATATCGAGGTCACTGGATCAACGCCGTAGCAAAAAGGAATGTTTGATCCCCCGTGCGCTGGGGTTGGGGAGTGGGTTAGGAAACATAATAACGTGTTGGGGGGCCCTGTGGTTAGAGAGAGACAGGGGGAGAGAAAGGGTACGGGTGGGGGAGAGACAGCGGACAGTTCCGAGTAAGAACGTCACATCTCGACGTCTCTGTTGGGAAACCGGTAACAGAAGAGAGAACAGCGCGCTAGACCAGTGCGATTAGCTGGTTTATAAAGAGACCAGAAGGCGACACAACACAGACTCCAGCTGGAAAAAGAGGAACAGAGGAGCAGTGCGAGCCCTCAGCGGGATTATGGGCCTGTGTTGCCTTCAGTTAAACACCAAACGGTCCTAAATAGGGTGTTTCCATGCGCCCTTAAAACGCTGAGATCTGCTGTGCGTAACACTGGATTGTATTAATGATGGATGACCTTTTATCCTAACTTTTTATTTGTTTATTTTTTACTAGTATGGATTTCTAACAGTAATTTTTTTGCCGGAATACCATTACCCACGTTTGGAGTATTTTTACGCACAGCCCTCTTGTGTTCGGATGCCTCTGCAAATCATTTCCCAAGTCTATTGGGACTTTCTGCGCACTACAATCCAGTTTATCTGATTTCTCAAGTGAATCATCGGTATCACATCTCGCTTCTGGCTGTACCCGTAATAGCAACAGATCACTTAACACAGACTGACACTGGTGCCTCCTGAACGGGGGTTGGTACATGTTATTTCTCCATCTGTTGTGAAGAGTTTCTCAACTCTGGACGACAACATAGTCTGCCACCTGAAATGCTCCCTCTGTCCCCTCTGTTGCTCCTCGTTTTCCCCGCTGCGCTCTTTGTGGCCGCGCAAGGCGCCGGGGACCTCCAGGGTTTCACCTTCCGCGCTGGGAACGCAGGTTTCGACCCAACAGGTATGTGCTGAATGATGCGTCGAGCCAACAACAGAGAGACTGAATCTGAAAATAGGAAAGCTGGACATCACTTCTCACACAGTTATCACTTATGCTTGATAAAGTGTTTGCATCGTTGAATGACAATCTGTTTGTTGACATTTGCTTTCCAAATTAATGTATCATGATTTGTGGTTGACTTTTTGCATTCTAATGATACAAACTGAAACTACAACTTTTAATCTCTCCTTTTTTTAAAAGTGTTTTTAAAGAATAACCTTGTTTTTTAGCCCAGTTTGATTATAATAAAAATTTAGAGTTTAAAGCACAATTATTCCACAGGAATAAGAACAGCTTAAATAATCAGAACCCTTGTTGGTACATTTTTATTAATCTTGCATATGCCTCCAAAAATAAATTTAGGAAAAACAAGAAGAACAAGGACTTTTCTTTCTTGTTACATTTAATTTAAAAAAAAATAAATAAATGCTTCTGCTTTTGTGGTCCAGTCTTGTGTGCTCAGGACTCAAACAGCTTCAGCTCACCTGTGGAAAGGGTTAAACTCAGGTCATATGTGGAGTTCCCACACACACCCACACACAGGCCTGCCTATGCATACACCATTTATATTTGATATCCCATCAACCTCAATGATGAGAAATGTAAGTTTCATCAACAACCAGGGGATTGATGTCTTTGCTTTCTCTACAGTGATCTCCTGGCTGTGGAACTGTTCTCGCTCTAACATGGATCGTTTTATAGATAATTACTCTTAAATGTCTGAATATTTCAGGATGGCCGTACTGACTGTCTCGAGTGAAGCATGAGATTGTCAGGACTATTTTTTTTTATTATTTTGAAAGAACAGCTCACACCTGTCATGTATCCGATGCATACATCAATCAAAGAAATGATGAATCATTTTAAGCAATTTCGTCCCCAAGTGTTCAGTTTGGGTTGTTCTTGCTGTATCTATAGAAACTTTCTCCAAGCAAGCACACCTGATGCTTATAGAGCCCTATGTCAGCGGATAATCTTGCACTAGCATACCCCAATGGTCCTGCATTGACTTGCTGAACATGGACAAATTGTAAGAGGGGTTGCCCCACATGAAAAAATACTATTACTAACGTCAGAAAATAATTAACTTTTTTCCCAGAAGTCTCTGGCTTTACATACATCTTAATGGAGAGCATCTAGTGTTACTGGAGCTTGTTTTGATAGTGGATTTTACCAGCAGACCTTTGACCCCCAGTCCCTTCAGCTCCTTGAAGCATCAACTCTAGAGTCACAGGGACAAAAATGGGCTCTGACTCAATATGACAGATGACGGAAAGCTGTGTGTCATCATCTCATGCATTTGTGTTCCAGTATTTAACTTAAGCCTGGAACATACTGTAAGATTTAAAGCCTAATTACAACAGTTGTTTTGTCCATGATGCAAACACTGAACCTGAAACTTGTTTGTTAAACCAGTCGAAACTGCTACAGTTGTTTTATTTTAAAACATGTTTTATTTTTATGACATTAAACTGGACCATTCTGGATGGCATTCTGCAGCTTGAGCTGATTACTGACAAGAATACAGTGTAAAAACAGTGTTTCTCATTGACAATATGTGTTGCCAGTTCACAATTGGTTAAAATTGTAACAGTCTACTTTAGTACCCATAAGACATAGATAATTAGTTTTATTGTGCACTGTCCCTGCTCAAATAAAATAAATAATAATAATAAATAGATAAGATTCCTTTATGTGTCCCACAATGGGGAAATTCCAATAGGGGCATCCAAAAGGGCCCCTTTATGCCAATCTTCTTCTCGGTTGTTGTTTTTACCTCAAAAAAGTGCAAGGTCCATATAGTGGCTACCTAGTGCTTCTTGAGGTGAGATTGTCAACAAATGCATTATACACTTAATTTATTGTCCATATTTCCCTAATGTAGTAAATGTAGATTGTAATTGTCATATTTCCATAATGGAGGAATTTAAAGCGTCATTGACACAGACAGACAGAACACATAGGGAGATGAAGGGGGATACAATGTTACAAAGGTCCCTGTCTAGAATCAAATTAGGGAGGCTGAGATTATATGTGTCTTATTATATTGAATATTGAGTCTTAGCCACTAGTATAATTAATTTTGATAAACGTGAAATTATTTATTATTAATATATTATGATAAAAATTAAATAATTTATGAGGATCTATTGGCAGAAATTGAATATAATATATATAATATTCATAGGTATGTTTTAGCCTACAGTAGCTGAGAATGGACAAACCAAACACTGGCTGTAGAAAGAGCCTTTTGCCTTTTTCACAGATTTTGTGGCCAGCGGAGTTTCTCTTACACACTTCACAACCCTTTCTCATTCCCAGGTCCTTAAATACAGACGACAGTAGTGTTCAGTTAGTTACAATCTGAAACTTCATTGCTAGATGCCACTAAATCCTACACACTGAACTTATAATAATTGCTGGCCCAAAAATTGTTTGAAACCATGGCAGTTAGACAATAGACAAACAGAGGAAAAGGTAAATCAATGGAATGATTCATTGTGCATTTATTTTATAAGCCAAAAGAGTAACAATCTCTCAGCACTGCAAATATTAGATGATCTTTCCTTGTATCTCCACTGTATGTTGAGCAGTCATCATACAGTGTTCGGCTAATTAAGTGAGCAGAAATAATAAATAAATGAAAGGTACTCCCTGGATATAGTAATTTGATTGAAATAATGATTAATATAATGTCATCCCCCTCCTGACCCATGTAGACCCCTGCATGGTGGTGTCTCCACCATGTATGAGCGAGGCGGATCGCTACAGCCTGGAGGCTCTGCGGAGCATCCATCACATGATGGATGATGACCAAGATGGAGGGATTGAGGTGGAGGAGAGTGTGGAGGTACAAAACTCACTCTTCATGAAATGTTTACACCATTTTCTTAGCTGTTTTGAATCCTTGTTAGGAGGGTATGTTCTTGCATGCAAGAGACAGACCGGCTAAAGCAATGCAACAACAGCTGTCTTGGCTGGTGGAAGAGTCAAATGCTACTTCAAGGATAGCAACGGTATAACTTTGTTTTTGGCTCAGTGACAAAATTGGTTTGCACTAATAGAATACTGTAACACTGGTGACCTTCATATTTATACTTAAGGGTATAACTCCTCTGACTGTTTCCTGACTCCAGCTCTCCTTATACTTCAGCCAGTTTGTTATGGCTGTTACAACAACTTGAAGTGATATGCTGCCTCTCTTAGTAGAGTGATATATTATCCAAAACCAAAAGAGGAAATATTTCAAGTTGATGAAACTTCAGTTATTTGTTAATCACATTCATTTCTTTTTAGTAGTAGTAAGTAAAAAATGAATACATGTTAATGGTGAAATTAATTCCTAAATGTAACAAAATTAGTTTTCAAAGAAAGGTTTGACATATTTATTTGCCGCTTTTCTTTTGTAGACGTTTGATATATTACCAGTATTCCCTGGAGAAAGATATCTTGTATCTCAGTGGGACCTTAACAGGGCTAAATAAGAATAGTAGACCCAAAAGTAGAGGCAAACATTTTTGTTATGAGCCAAAAACAAAACACATGTTTCATTTTGTCAAGTAAAAAAGTCTTTCATCTCTGCACGTGTGTGAAAACATATTTATTAGATGTACATGCATGTTTGTGATTTTGTATATTCTGTTGCACATGTTTTTTGGTATTCAGTTTAAATTTCAGAATAAATCACATCCAGAGTGAGTAAAGAGGCTATTTTGTCCAAGGAGTGTGTGTGTGTGTGTGTGTGTGTGTGTGTGTGTCTGTGTGTCTTGGTTGTATGTGACATTGGTAGTAAATCCTGAATTCTAGAATGCATTTGCCTTCCAGAATGCAGTTCAGGGATACAGTATCCAGGGGCTCGGGTTGCGGTTGCCATAGAGATGTCAGGGGAGGGGCCTAGGCTCATAAGAACACAGCCTCAAAATTCCTCTAGCCATCATATGAAGCTCCAGTTTACAGCCAAGGGCACATTCCAAGACACACACACACACACACACACACACACACACACACACACCTCTCATAATCCTTGAAGTTTGCAATACACACTCATGCTGCTGCATTCATTCTAAATAAAAACAGTCTCAAAACACCCACTCCTTATTCCTAAATTTAAATACAAGTACATAACACACTGCTACACCCACTTAATTTACTTTAGACAGAGACATGGAGAATTCGTGCTCAGCTAATGTTATGCTCTTGTTACACCTAAATTTGCTCTTGAAAAAGTCTGTATTTTCACTTCTTCTTTCCATCCCTCTCTGTCTTTTCAGTTCATCATTGAAGACATGAAGCAGCAGCAGACCAACAAACACAGCAACCTGCACAGAGAAGACCAGCACATCACAATTGAGGAGCTCTGGAGGGGCTGGAAGTCGTCTGAAGGTGTGTGTGTGTGTGTGTGTGTGTGTGTGTGTGTGTGTGTGTGTGTGTGTGTGTGTGTGTGTGTGTGTTTGTGTCCAACGATGTCCAGCTCTACTTTGTCTTTCCATGTATATTTGTCTCACGTTTTGTCTCACTTTGCTTTTTTTTCCTTGTCTCACTAATCAGTACATAATTGGACTCAAGATGAGGTGCTTCGCTGGCTGAAGGAGTTTGTTGAGTTGCCACAGTATGAGAGGAATTTTAAAGACTTTAGGGTCAATGGAAACACACTCCCCAGGTGAGAATATCCAATGACAACGCTTTAGACAACCAACACTGCCTCACTTGTGTGCTCTTGGTCAAGCACATCACTGTAAAAACAAGTCAGTTGTTGTTAAGAGTCATATCAACACGCTGAACTGCCTATGACATATTCGCGCAGGATTGCAGCTAATGAGCCTTCATTCCTGAGTGGCCATCTGAGGGTTCAGGACCAGAGAGACAAACAGAAGCTCAATATCAAAGCTCTGGATGTCGTCCTGTTTGGACCACCTACACGTAAGAATAAGTCCTCTCCCTCTTTCCCCTCCCTACTCTTATTTCTCTTTAATGTATCTATTCCTTTTGTTTGTGCATACCACCAAACTTTTCCAGTTTCCTCAGGTTTTTCCTGTATTTGAAGGAAAACTATTGACATGTTCACATTAAAGCTCCTGTTTGTGTTTTTGGTTTACTCCATTTTGCTAACTTTATGTTTAATTAAAATAGCTCTTTATAATCCCATCATTTATGATGTATTTACTATCCATGCACAATTAATAACTGTTTTCAATCCACCATAGGTCCCCCTCACAACTACATGAAGGACCTCCTGCTAATTGTATCAGTGGTGATGGGAGTTGGAGGCTGTTGGTTTGCTCAGGCCCAAAACAAAGCCAGTAAAGTTCACATAGGCAAGATGATGAAAGATTTGGAAAGTCTGCAGAGGGCTGAACAGAGCCTCATAGAGCTGCAGGAACAGTGAGTATTCACTCTTTAGTGTCTCTACCTCACAGTACATTTTTGAATTGACTTTGTTTTGTTTGATTGCACTAAAAACATTTCACTTTCTCAGACTGGAGCGAGCCCAGGAAGAAAAACGAAATGTTGCGGAGGAGAAACAGAATCTCGAGGAGAAGATGAGGGATGAGATCATTGGGGCACAGGAGGAGGCTCACCGTCTGCACAAGCTGAGGCAGGGAGCTGTCAGTGAGCTCAGCCGCCTCCGATATGCAGAGGAAGAACTGGAGCAGGTAGACACACTGCGTACCATACACAAGAGGACACAACTTTGCAAATGCTGCACTAGATGCATGTCATTCTTGCTATAGTTTGGAGGATTTTAGGGAAAAGCTTTAACTACAGTTTTCTCTCTTCTGCACACTGAACTGAACATTTGACTGATGCTATCCACTCAGGTTCTTGGAGCACTGAAGCAGGCAGAGGAGGAAATGCATGCTAGCTGGACTGCCTCAGAGGCCCTCCAGCAGTGGCTGCAGCTGACGCATGAGGTAGAGGTCCAGTACTACAATGTCAAGAAGCAGAGTGCTGTACTACAGCTTGTCTCTGCCAAGGAAGAGGTAATTCAAGAAAAAAGGGAGACACAAATGAACAGTGGTCAAGAGTATATTTAGAATGACATGATGCATAATTGCAAAAAAAAAAGGCAAGGGGAATGTTTAGACACAGGTCTATAAATGCAGCATTTTTTTTATTAACTGACCTGCACTTCCTTGCAGGCAGAGAGGATCAAGAAGAAGAGAAGTTCTGTATTGGGGACTCTCCATGTTGCCCACAGCTCCTCTCTAGACCAAGTTGACCACAAAATCCTGGAGGCAAAGTGAGTCACAAAATTACCTGTGCAAGATTTGTTAGTGTAATGTGTGACATATGTCACAAAGGTCTTTGTATCTCCCAAAGGAATTCTCTGTCTGAAGTAACAGCCTGCCTTCGGGAACGCCTCCATCGCTGGCAGCAGATTGAGCGCCTCTGTGGGTTCCCCATCATTAGGAATCCTGGCCTAGCAAACCTCACTGCTCAGCTCTACTCAGATTCAGTTGCTCTTGGATTGCCCCGAGTGCCCCAGCCTTCTTATTCATGCCACAGCTCCGTCCATGGATCTATAGAGGATCTGTTAGAAGAGTCTGCTTCTCCAATCTTACCACAGATGCCAGGTAGGTAACAGGAAAAATTAGGTTAGGTTGAGTCTTTATTTGCATCCCCATGAGTGTCCATAAAGTGATCAGTCAGGTTCAGACCTGGTAACTGTGTAAGACAAGGCAGGTGATTTGTATCAAACCATTTAGTGATTCCATGTCTTGTATGGAATGATCTGCAACTGTTGTGTTTCTCCACTCATAACAGAACTTTATTTACATTTTTCATTCATCTGTATGTTCAATGCATATCCAAGGGATATGTGGTATCGGTCAATACAAAGGAGTAAATTCAGCAAATTTAGTGTTGATGCATATTTAAAATCAATGTTGCAGTACTGTGGTCTTGGTAGATGCAGCTCAGACATGGCACACTATTTTTTTTGTTTTAAATTCTCAGATATTCTTAATGTCACAGTAAATTGAAAACAGAAATGTAAGGGATTGTCTCAAGTACCCCTGTCTTTTGGTGTTGATCTACTGTATTTGTGACAGCACCATACCCAGTTCAGTAAGGCAAAGTATACATAACTAAATAGCTCCTAAAAAGCTGCTCTAGTATCATTAAGGCCTAATAACACCAGCATCTAAAATAGCAATCCGGTTAATGATTAATCCATACCTACACATTTAATTGCATTTAGTTCAACTTTGACATGTTAAACTTGTACCACTGACCAACTGAAAGCTATCTTGACAATGCTGACCATTGAAGGAATGGAGAGCCAGAGATTCCAAAATGGTGGAAGTTATTAAGGCTTATTAGCTGTGTTGTCCCAGTATAAACTGCTCCACAGAAGAAACATGGTTTTCAGACAGTTATGAACCAGAAGTCAATGGCACAAATACATCTTTAACAAAAAACTTTAGCTTATTATTCATTGGCCGAGCTAAGCTTGCAAACTTAAACTTAGCTAAGAGAGCTTATTTTCCTTATTCAACAACTCTTTATAGGGTACAGAAACAGTACAGAAAATAGGAAGAAGCTTGAAAGTCTACTGTGACTGTAGCACTAACATGTTCCCAGGCAGTGAGCATTTCAGTGGTTAGCTCACTAACTACAGTAGTTGGCCAACAAGCCCTGTTCATAGTGTCTACATCACCAAGCTACTAGCGAGGAAGCATGGTCAAATATTGCTGTGACAGTTTCTGGTGTTATTAGGCCTTTAAGGTTGAAAACTAGGGGTACATATTTATTGCTACAACCATATCACTGTCTGTTATGTATGGATTGATCAGTTTTACTGGTTCATATTTGGCCTTCCTTCATTTCCAGTTCCACCAATGAAGCGCTCTCCTCAAACACGGGGATCCACCTTATGTCGGGCACGTCGTCCTGGCGTCATTAATCAGCCACAGGCTGGCATAATCTCCCAGGACCCAGACCTTCTCATCCCCATCCGAGCCCCATACCCTTGCTTTGATGAGGAAGAGGAGCTCTTCCTGAAAACTTTAAAGAAACAGTATGTCTCCCTGTCCACAGCTTTTAGAGACCAATTTGTTTTAACACACTGCTCATGTTTAACTACTGTGTTTCAGCAACACCATTGTTAATGCAGTCATTGATCATTCCTTTCTTCTTGTCCCTTCCTTCCCTTAATCTTCCTATCCCTCACTAATAGAGACTCCCAAGAGATGTTTTCAGACACAGAATATTCGGCTTCACCTCCTCTCAGCAAAATGTTCTCATGTCCCACTGTTGACACTTCTTCTCAAAAGCTCTATGATGATGAAACTGAGCTGCTTTCAGACAGCTCCATTACAAGGCATTTGAGTAAAGAAGCGGAAGCTGCGGTTGAATCTCCAGTTCGCAAAATTTCTGTACAAGAACTTGAATCTTCAGTAGATGTTTCCTGCAGGATGATGGCAAAAGAAAAAGTGCTGCATAGTTCTCTTGAAAACCCTTCTCTGAAGATGTCCAAAGAAGAACAGTCTTTCATGGAGGCTACATCAAGGATGATATCCAGAGACAGGAGTGAAGTTCCCATGAATATTGCAGTTAAAAAGGGGCATTCCAATGAGTTGGATGCAGACTCTCCAGCCAGGAAAGTAGAGAGAGATACAATAGGGGATTTGATGGACAGTGCTTCAAGGAATATATACAGAGAAAGAGGTGATTTACCTCTGGATGTGAGAAAGATGCTTTGGAATGAATTAGAAGCAACAACAGATGTGGCACATAGGAAGATATCAAGAGATATGATGGGGGCTTCAATGGACACTGCCTCAAGAAGGATGATACGAGATGATGAGCGTCAGTTTGACTCAGTATCAATAAGGATTGCAAGAGATTCAATGGGAATGTCCCTAGACACAGGTTCTAGAAAGCCTCCATGGAATAAAGGAGAATGCCAGCTTGATTCCTCTATGAGGGCATTGGCAATGGACAAAATGGCTGAGACCACTAGAACACCACAAAGAAAGATATCTAGAGATGAGCTGGAATATTGTACGGATACTGCTTCTATAAGGATGCTACCCAGAGAGAAATTTGAAGCACTAATGGATACCTCATCCTCTACAGAGAAGCAAGAGTTTGGTTTAGACCCATCAACAAGTAGGAGGATACAGAGAGATGAACTTGAAATGTCTTCTGGTTCTCTCAGACGGAGAATACCAAGAATGCTAAGAGATGAGATGGACAGTTCCATAGACACTCCCACAGGAAAAATCCCCAGGGATAGAGTTGATCTTCCAATGGAAATACCTAAACAATCAATAATGAGGGAGGAGTTGGGATCATCCGAATCAAGTTCATCTCCAGGTCGAATTGGACAGCCAGACCTTATGGTAACCTCACAGGGGTCATGGAAGTCATCATCAGACTTTTATGCTGTTGGTCCCTTGAGCCAGCTTGTGTACGATGGAATTCTTGAGAAGTCCTGCAACTCCATGGCTACGACCGCAACCAGCCTCTCTGCCTCAACACCCAACCTTCCCCAGGGCAGGCTGCTAGCAGAGGTAGAGCCACAAATGTCACCACCAAGGATTCCCTTATCATCTCCTCCATCACCCGGTGACAGGCACAAGAATAAGGAAAAGAGCAAGAAATCATTAAAGCTTAAAAATCTTTTTAAAAAGAAAAGTGAGTCAACTCCAGATAAGCTTCAAAGTGGTCTTCAGAAACTCTGACAATTAACTTTTTTTTATTGATAACATTTTATTGAATACGAGAAAAGTAGTTAGACCTCATTGAAGAATTGAAGATATTTTTTAGTGAAAAGTTTTAGAAAGCATAATCTTACCAAAAGCTGGACATTTACAGCCAGCGGTGTCTAGAATGACAAAACAGAGTAAGAGAAACAAAAAACATATTAATGTTTCCATTCTTTGAGTTTGATTTTAAAGGCACGGACAGAATCACAATACATACTTGAAAGTCAAGAAAATACAGTACATTCGGACACATAAGTTAGTTGCATAATGTGAGATCAATATGACTGTCAGTCGAAATATTTGAAGTTGATTTTTTTTAATGTATCTAAGTCTTATGTAAACATATGGTTGATACCATATTTTATTTTAGATGTATTTTTTTTTAGACTTTAGTAGAAAACTAATGTATTCTTTTCTGAGAGAAATGTAGCTTAATTTAGGAATGTCCCAATCATACCTCCCCCATTCCCAATTTGAGGCCTGTGGTATTGAGTATGAAACAGTCTATCCTGATATTGTTGTTATTTCTTCCATACTCACAGCTTGTGCACAGTGTACACATCAAAATTTGTAAGACAATTTAAAGGATCTGAAAAACCTATTTTGTCAATAAGCTTCTGTGAATAACACGGCCCTACATTTAAACACTATTTACTGCCAGAGTAAGAACACTCACTGGTTTTAACTGTGTGGGGGACATCTGGAAAAATATGATGTCACGTATACCCAAGGGTTCAATCAGGATTTAGCATTTCACATTTACATCAGAATCTGAGAACAGTTGTGGGTAGTTTGATCCTAAAGTGATTAAACAACACCTACACAGCCTTGATGAAGCAGATTGGAGTTTTTAGGCTCAGACTCTTAATAAATAATACCTAAGGATTTTTTTTTTGCTTAACTTTATATTTGGGAGCTGCTTACTTTGTCTAGACTATTAATTGTTACTAAGGATTGATTTAGGATTTGAAACCAAGTTTTCAGGGGCCTTAAATATGTGTGACAGTTTAATAGGTCTGCACTAGGAAAATATAGCCTGTCCAATAATGTTTTGTATATTCATGTAGAGGTGTGTCAGAGTGGATCTATTGTAGCAGGAAGCTTCAGATCTAAATTTCTAGAACTATTAAAAGTTCAAATGCCATTTTTAAACATCAGCACTTTTAAGATGTTGCTGAAGTAGACACAATATATATATAAATGACCGTGTTCCCTGATTCACATGTTTCGTAACTGAGACTGCTAGCTACTTTCTATTTATATTGTGCACTCTACCATTCACATGTCGGTACCTCGATCACAGCTGTGGGCATTTTTAACACAAGGAACAAACAAATAACCCACAGGTTTGGAAATGTGTTAAACTTAATATAGCCAATATTGATCCATTTAAAAAAGGATCTGTCCTGATCTTGATCCTATGGATCGGGACATCCCAAGTTTAATAAAAAACTTATTGCCAAATGCTCATGAACAGTTTGTTTGCAAACTGTTTTTTATTTATTTATTTATGGGGAAATAAGAAGTGTTTGCATTTAAATGCATATTTTGAATGCTTGAATTGTTGATGTTTGTGGAGGATTTACTTATATTGTTTACAGGCATACTGTCAGTACCTTAAGTAGTTTATTTGAATTAAAATAATTCAGAAGTTTTTACTTGATTTAAAAAATTGCTTATTGGGATTTTTTCACGTGATTAATGTATTTGTTTCAGTGTTAAGTAAGGAATCTATGGCTAAAATGTTTTCCCTTGTCTTAGACAAGAACAAGCACTGAGTGATACAATGAATGTAATATTAACTGATGATATAGGAAAATAAACATGGTGAAGTTTTGAAAAAGGAAATATTGTGCAGTGTTCTACAATAAAGAACTTAACATTGACAACATAAATTCTCTCAATCCTTTGTGAAAGAAACTTAAAACTTAAAAAACTCTTGAATATGATCTGAATGCATTATAAATTATCCCGTGTATGATATATGATTTATAGCCTGCAATAATGCAAAACTAAATGCAAAAATGGCAAGAATTAGTTAGAATAAGTTAGAAATAGGCTACCACAAAACACTTACCACAGTCAAATGATAAATCTTGTTTTTAAGGTTCTCCAGCACTAAAAGGGGTGGCTGGCATTTTATTATAATGCCTTTACTCAAGCAGGCTATATCCCAATATAAATCCCAGCAGCCACCTTTCCTCTCCTCGCAGTTAATGTTTGAGGGTTACTGTCCTATCTGAAGTTTGAGATGAATTGAACCTTCCTGTACAGTAATTAAACTTGATGGGTAATGTTCTTACATTTAAAAAGAACTGATTTAGAGCCCTTAAATATTCAATAAGCAGTGCTGACTAAGACATCTTTCATATACCATATATTTCTTATTTAAAATAACATAAGCAGTTATTTTTAAGTTAATGAGTAACATTTAGAAGAAGCCCATTACAAATTGCATTTCATTAATTAGGTTGTCACAAATAACACAATAATGTGGTTTGGACTGTTGGAGTCTCCGCTACGGGTGTTTACGCAGCATGTCCACTAGAGGTCAGGAGAGTTGCCAACTGCAGCTTCAATCTACAGTCATATGAGGGGCTGTCTGTCACTTTGGGTTTCCTGTAAGCTTTACTGATCACATAAAGCACATGGTGTGGTTGGAATTAGCTTCATTGTGCACTCTGTTATCCTTCTGTAACTTTTTGGAATCATAGCATAAATAGATAAAGAGCAGAAATATGTAAAAAAAAAGAACAAGCATTTATAACCACTGTGGTTCATGTTGTTAACAGTGTGGACACTGTTCACATTAAAGGTTATCTGTTGCCTGCTTTCAGATTTGATCAGCAGTGAGTAAGTCATTCACCCACATTATTCTTTCCTGATAAAATGTCTGTTAATGGATTTATGGTCAATAAAGCTTTTTCTCCTGACATGCTGTGGATCTTTCTGGATCTTTATGCTGTGGAAACTGAACTGCTATAAATGTTATCACAGAGAATCTCTCTTTGCCAAGGGGAATATCTGATATATATGTATAAATACATTTAGCACACAGCTTAAAAATGAGAATTCAGCAAGTGTGTGGTACTAAAATATAATAATGACAAGAGGCAATTATATTTAGAAATCTGTGTAAAACATTTAATACTTTCTATGTGTAAAACAGTATAACTCACTCTTGTTACTATATATACTCAAAATTTTTATTTACTCAAAATAAAAACAAGATGTAATTAAGCTTGAACACAGGCCTAACATGATGAGAACGTTACTATAAGAAAAGTATGTTTCAAGCAGCCTGTGAAAATGTATATATAAGGCAGAAAAATAGATTGCTGTTGCTGGTTGATAACAAACCACATGTGCACACAAGCCACAAATCACTCACTTGCAGCAGTGTCTTAAACCACAGGACATTACCTACATAAAAAAACAAGAAGAAAGGACAACTGGTCCTGAATTTGAACAATTTGAATTTTAACTCATTTCATTCTGTGTGGTTTCTGCATGAATAAAGCTAATGTGCCTGTGCGCTCCATTCTCTGTCGTTGTGTTTATTCTTCCTTAGCCCGAAACACAACTTGTGTTGAATACACATCTTCATCCTGAGAGACAATGTGACATATATTATTTATACATTAATTTAGAATTATTATAATGAAATGTGTATTGCTCCGCTATTGTATTGTGACTGTGATACATTAAGACCGCGGTTCTCAAAGTGTGGGGCGCGCCCCACTGGTGGGGCATAGAGACGTGACAGGTGGGGCGCGCCAAATGGGAGGACATTTTTCTTTTTATGCCTTTATATCTTTATCCAGACATCCCAACTGTCCCGGAAGTTCCGGGAGTCTCCCGCATATTGATAGCGGCTCCTTGACGCCCGCAAATTAGATCCAATCTCCTGGAATCTGGAGCAAGACCGCGCACTAGACTAGAGAGTGACTGCGCACGTGTGTGTGTGTGTTTGTGTGACTATAAATGCAGCGCATGTGAGAGCAAACCGTTCTTATAGCTGTCTGTAGGGCTGGGCAATATGGCTTAAATATTAAAATCTCCGATTTTTTCACACCAAACCCGATTCACGATTAGACTGTTTTTTAGCGGGTGTTTGTGGGCTGCTATATCTCGCAGAGAGCAACATTTCTCCCACTCGGCTGCATGCCTCTGCTTGAGGTGCTAGAATAAATTGGTCGTACTGCTACCTTTGGTTGCAACAGCTTTCAAGAGAAAACCGATTTTAACTAAAAATAAATCGTGTTTAACTACGAATTCAAATTAATCGTTAAAATCGATTTATCGCCTAGCCCTAGCTGTGTGTTGCCGCTTATTAGACCAATCACCCCCAGGGGGGGGGCCCAAGTGTCATACATGAAAATCACTCACCTTTCGGAGAGGTTGAAGATCGGCAACATTTCCGTTTAATCTTTTGTTTACACTGTAGTTTATTTTGAGTCAATCCGTTATACATCGTTCTTCTGCTGCAAATACTCACTAGCTCACCAAATCCGTAGCTGAAAGTCGTCCCATTACAAATACACTGTTTATTTCTGTTTCTGTTTCTCTTTTGCCAGAAACTACAGTGCCCAGCTGTTTTAGGAGTAGTATAGTATAGTATATTTTCATGACCTGTTTTCATGACCTTACCACATTGTGCCTCATATACTGTAAATGTTAGACCCAGTGACAGGCTGGCATGAAATGGCTTGCATAATACTTAGTAAGGAGGCCATAATATTTTTGACTCATGGCTGAAGTTAAGTTTCTCCAGCTCTCCCCAGGTTGGCAATAAATGCACCTCAAAATGCATCGGATTGATGCTTTAAAATATGGAATATTCAAAATGTTATACCCCCTAGAGGGGTCTCACCTTTTTCACCCCTGACCCGTTTTCATGCCTGAAGTGTAACAGGAATTTATTTTATTTTTGAACTTGCTGTTATTTGATGTAGATAGTTTGTTTGTATTTAGATACAACTTGTTACTATACTGGTACTACTTATTACTTCAATAAATTGGAACATTTTAAGCCTGTTGCGTATTTCATTAGCATTGTGTTGGGGCGATGGGGGCAGGTGGGGCTTGAAAATTCCCCCCTTGTCCAACCACTGCATTAAGACAACTACAAAGAAGAAGAAATAGCAGCTAAAAGTGTGAAATGTGGATAAAAACATATGTACATGATATGAAATTCCCAAATTCCAACTTATTACCTTATTCCAACTTGTTTGTGCCCAGGCGTCAGGTCTTTTCTGGAGAATTTGACGTTCCTTGTCTGCAAAAATGAATGCAGCATCATCACAAAGTAGCACCCAACTGCACACAAGCAAATATAGTGATAATGACAGCTTCCATAAATGTTTGAATAATTGTAAAGTAAAACATGGAAAAAATATTAAGTAAGCAACACTAGGTACCTGCTTTCTGACAGAAGTGATGAATCAGAATAAAGGAGAGGAAGGAGGAGAGGATCATGAGGGCTGGAGTGAACACCATCACCCAGGACACAGAAGGCACAAGACTTGAGATGCACCCACTGGAGTCAAGGCTGGAATCTGTATTAATTATGCATATAAAATGATAATATTAATGTATAGGGTTCCAGTGTCTCTCTCTCTCTTTCTCTGTGTGCTGTGTTAACCGAGATACAGAAAAAAGAAAAGGCAGACAAGTACATATTGGGCAGGAATACAACAAGAGTAAAATTAAAAGAAAGACAATAAATAAATGAAACAAAAAATAAGGAAAGGAAGGAGTCAGGAGAGAAAGTGAAGAAAAAAAGGAGGATGCACTGCATGATGCCCCATGTCTATCTTTTTATTGTTATTATTATTTTATTTTTCGCTGTATTTTATTCTAATTTATTTTACTGTGGTTGTTTTCTTTTGGTGTAGTGACAGCTTGAGCATTGATGTTTCCTCCGTGAACTCTTGATAACACATACCATCAGTTGAGCTGTTACCATTTACATGGTAACATTGAGTCTGGCAATAGCTGTATTTTCCTTGCAGTCTATACAGTATATTTGGTCATTTTTATACAATGTAGGGCTGCATCCATGTCTTACAATTAAGACAGAAGACTTGAAAAATAGAGTCCACTCTTGTCTTGTATCAATTACGCATATAATATGATAATATTAGTGCTGGACAATGATAAATAATTTTAATCGCAGTTACGCAAAATTCAATAATGAATTAAAAAGTAGTGCATTGCGCACTTTTATTTTAAAAGTACTGCTATATGAACAAAAGTGCAATAACATTTGGTTTGCACTTATACACAACTTTACACTTTAAACAAATAAGTTGCTTTTTAATAGCAGTATTCCCTTCCATGTGAATGCAGCTCCCACTGTCCATCAATATAATGCACTTCAACTCGGAGGTAACTATGGTTACCCAGCGATGTCCAGTAGTCTCCAGTGAGAGCAACAGTTGGTACACGTTGTAACGCCGTCGCTTTTGTAGTCCTCTCCTTTTCACACAACTTGTGCATTCTTCTTGTGATGGTGCGTCTTGAGGGGGTCTCATACATGCCGTCATTCGTTGTGATCCTATCTTCCACCATACTAATCGGCCTGCAGTTTGACCCATGGTTGTCTGTGTATTCAGAGCCAGTGAGCAACGGACTTTCAAAATAATAATAATGGTTAAAAAAAAAAAACTGTTATCGCGAGATAAAATAATTGTCGGTGTTAATTAATTAATACGTTAACCCGATAATAACGCTTTAACTTGCCCAGCCCTAGATAATACATTTTGTTTTCTTCAGCTTTTCTCGCAGGTTTGGCTTCTTTTCCTTTCACATTCACTGAAAAAAACAATCGTATATGTTTTAGGGACAAAGTCAATTCAGACCACAATACTTACCTAATATGATTATTGGGTGCACACAACAGATAAACTAGGGTCCCGTATTTGGCATGCATTATGTATAAAAAATGATATACACTTCATTGATGCACATACAATATGTTGTATGTATGCTGTTGTGTGGTAGACTTTATGATGGTTCATCTATTTGATCATTATTAGCAATATTCATTATTATATAGTCAAATGATTAAATTCACTGTAACCACAGTCACACAGATATCTCGGGCACGAAGATAATTCAGACAAGCATACTTACTGACTATGATCCCGATCCTTGTTGTGACGTTGCCATATCTGTAATCATATCTGGGAGTGATGAATTCTTTGTCCTCCACCTTGATCTGTTTAGTTCCACAGTAGTAGAGACCCTCATCTGCATCAGTGACGTTCATGATCAAGAGGTCATAGGAGGCAGAGGAATAGTTTCTCACAAATTGAAAACCAGGGAGAACGGTGAACACATGTGAATTAGCTTTTAATTCAAGGACAAGAGAAGGCTGGTTCTCGTGAGAGCAGTTTCTGTACCACACTATGTATACTCCACTTGATAATTTGCAGTCACAGTAGAGAGTGATGTTGTCTCCTGGTCTTACTGTCACCTCCAACACTGGTCCAGAAATCCAACCATGACTGTAAGAAACAACTCCTGGAATACAAACACCATTGTAAAAGCAGATTGAAATGTGCTCAGTGTTACAGGATTTCACATTACAGCAGATCCAGTTTTCTACTCAACACAACAGCGATGAGAACGTAGGTACAAAAAAAAATTATTACCTAAGAGAACGACCAGAAACATGCGTAGCCCCTCCATGTGTGATGATGACCGGGGAATAAAAGACAGTGAAGCTGTTCGTACTCACAGATATCATGCAGACTTTTCCATTAAAGGAAGTTGATTGGTGATTGGCTAATCAGGTACCACCTTTTCTTCTGTGGTTGTTGTCTTTCTTGTTGTTTTTTTTATTTTGCGAGATTAGACACAGACAAGTGAAACAAGACATGTCAGACCTTACGCATTGTGTGACCAACCCCCCCCAAAAAAGTCTCTCTCTCTCTCTCTCTCAGGACAGAAGACGTTCATTGCAGCTATGTAGCTTGTTGCCATTTTGAAAGATGGAACAGAACATATTTTCAGAAGCAGCTGTTGTAGTGTTGCTCTTGTTACCAAACTCAACTTCGACGGCCCTTGATGATTGTACATTTGTTCTTTGTGTCTACTGTGGTGAGAGCAGTAAGTTATTTTTATACAAATTACAATATAAGAGCAATTATACATTTATATACATTATTATTATTCAATATAGCTTATTGTAACTGTGTCACTTTCATTATCTCAGGACAAGCATCTTCAGTTTTACGTTTTTGAATAATCACCTTGAACCACTCCACACATGTCACTGGTCAGACGATAACACCAAAAAACCCCAGAAAGATTTAGTACAATAATGACAATGCATTTTGAGCAACATCCAATCACTAGACAAAACTAGAACAAATTGAATTGAAACATCACAAACACCACAGTGTTGTCATACATTACATCCATTCTATAACCCAAAAAGGGACAAAAGTTTAAATTAGTCAAAAACAAGAAAGAATGCATACAACAACATCCATATAATAGTCACATTCTAAAATCTATTAACAAGTAATAATATATTAATAGTAATAAGTATTGCAGGGGACCACTAGAGTTAATCAGTACATATGTAAGTCCACAAACACTGATTGGCTTACCCTGACATTCTCACCCTAACCCTAACCAACCTCCTCATCGTGGCTCATTTTGTATGACTGTATGACTGTTAGGGCTGTATGTGTTTTCTGCAATAATATTAGGAAATGTGGTGTTATGCTGAACACAGATTATATGGAAATGGTCGAGACATATTACCTTCAAAAGAGTTTGAGAGCATTTTTGTATTTTGTTATTGTTCATTTTGAGCAACTTAAACATAGAAGCAGAAAACATTGTGTAACCATTGTCAACCTAGCAACATTTTTATTTGAAGAAAATCTTTATTAAATGTGTACCACCAGATTGAGTCTGCTTGACATCATTCTGTGCACTACTGTACTTGTCAGTCATAAACATGGGAAGCTTTGTCCACTCTACCATCCATCCCATATGACATGAGTATTTTCATGCAGAATATATCAGGTTTCTCAGTGACTATGTGTGCATTTATTTTGTTATTCTGCTGCTGTGTTTTGTTTCAGATGTTATCTGACAATTTTCAGCATTGCAGTTTTCAGCTCAAGCATCTCTGCAACATCAAAGGATCGACTTGGGCCTTCAGAAACCACAGCTAGGGGCCTGTACTAAAAGGTGTTAATCTGTTCATGCATGTGTGTGTACGCGTTTATTTTGGCAACTAACCAAACAGGAAACTGTATTCAGGCCTCCAGGGAAGTGTGAACATTTAGACATTTGTTTGACACATGTAAGTTATTGCCTGCAGAATCTGTCTGTAATGATGTTGGCTTTATTATTGTGCAATTATTTATTTTATTATAATTTTTTATAGGGGGGGCTTTCTTTAATTGATAATGACAGCTGAAGAGTGGAAAGCAGGAGAGAGAGGGGTAAACACAGCAAAGGGCCACAGGTCAGAGTCTAACCCATGGTTGTGCAGCAAGGATTGGTCAGAAGTAATACAGGGAGATAGATCTCATTTCATTCATTCATTTTGACTGCTTTTTTTTCTTGTGTTATCACAACCAGATACAGGTATGCATCACCTCTATCACCACCCTGAACACCAGCGTCCCACAGGACTGTGTGCTGAGCCCCCTCCTCTACTCCCTCTTCACCCACGACTGCACACCTGTACATGGTTCCATCATCAAGTTTGCGGACACCCAACGGTGATTGGGATCATCTGTGACAATGATGAGTCAGATTACAGGGAGGAGGTCCAGCACCTGGCGACCTGGTGAGCCAACAACAACCTGGCCATCAACACCAAGAAGACCAAAGAGATCATTGTGGACTTCAAAAACACAAACAAATGGTTTGCCCTCCTGCCCTGGAGGTGCTACAGGTCTCTCCGTTCCTGAACTAGCAGGCTCAGGAACAGCTTTTTCCCATTAGCTGTCAGCCTGCTAAACTCTGCATCGAGGAGACCCCCCCTTCCCCCTGAACTCCCACTGAACTGTCTTTCTTTCTGTGTTTTTCATATTTACCCATAGTGTATAAATAACCACCTATAGTATAATCACATCTAGCTGTCTGTATATATATACACTTATATTTAATTACTTGTACTTACATCCGCACTATATATTCCACTGCTAATCTGTTCATACTGTAAATATCAAAACTTAATAGCTGTATATATCTTAGTGTATTCACCTCACTCGGTTCATTCTGTTAATACTGTTCATACTGTAAATACCCTGCTAGTAATTTCATATATATATCTATAAAGTTATTTTTACATATTTTTATATACATGCACATTACTCTGCACTTTTCTGCTTTGCACTTCTGGTTAGATGCTTAACTGCATTTTGTTGCCTAGTACCTGTGCCCGTGCAATGACAATAAAGTGGAATCTAATCTAATCTAATCTAATTTGGGATCAGTCTTCTTGCAACAACCATAGAAATCTTTAATTTTCAGTGGGACATAACATATTATACTGATGCAGCCTGTTACTGTAGCATGTATGAGTATTACTATGCAGGTTACGTGCAAATGTTTGAGGTGTGATTTGCTGGGAAACCACCGACTATTTAAAAAAAGGTCTCTGCTAACCACTGATGGGAACTGTTGGGTATCTGTAAATAATTTTATAAGGAGTTCGGTCTAGGCCTGTTCTATTTGAAAAGTGTCCTGGGATAACTTCTGTTATGAATTGGCACGATACAAATAAAATTGCATTGAATTGAATTTAATTGTTGCATCACACCTTCTTTACAGAGTTTGCGGTGCCTGAATGAGAGCAAAATATATCTTCAATGAACAAAAGCTGGTTTTGTTTCTGCTTTTGGTTTGGTAAAGAACAATTCTTCTTGGTCAGTCCGCTGCCAAGGTTTGACATAATATGACACTTTCCATACACAACTGACAAAGTCATCTGTCATAAATCATTGCAAACCCATGGACCATTTTCAGATGGAATTCAAAAGATTCAAGCAAATATGTGTTGAACCATTCATGTTTTTAAATCACAAGCCTGCATGCATAGACCTGGCCTCTGAGGCCACTTCCAGGAAGTTATACATGTCAGCCTTTCCTTACCCTCAAAACAATTACAGAGATATGATAAATGTTACTTAAAATATGAACTTTTCACTTCACATAATATTTTATTTGGTAATTTTTTTTTTTTTTTACATTATAACAAATACATTTCAATACATTTCAATAACTGATACTCCCTCCCATGGGGAAGTGCCCCTCACTGTTGGAAACTGTTGACACAGATCCCCCTCCTTCACAACCATCTGCTTTCTCTGTCCAATAAGTATGAATACTTTTCTGGTCTCAAAATCTTATATTTTAGATGTAACTAGACTGAGTATTGACTGTCTAATACACAGGTCTGCAATACTCTCTGCACTGGACTTTGTTTATTAATTTGCTTGTCTTATGTTTGGGTTTATGGTCTTGACGCTGGACAACCTTTTATCTCATTGTGGTGCTAAGTTTGAAAAAAAAGCAGGGAAGCTGTGTTTGTTAAAGTTCCTCCTGAGTTTCTCAAATGTATGTAAGGCCTATGTTGCACCTATTCTTCCTGTAGCTGTTTTTACAAAGGCACAGTTGGGTAGCCACAAGCTTTTTCCTTTGGTGTCCATTCACCTCAGTACCTGTATCAAGGCATCTGTCCTCTTTGATTTGCACTTCTCAGTCTAAACCCTTATATTGTCTCTGTCTCTGATGTCTTCCCATTTAAACTTGATGTTGCTGTCTATGCATACATGTATAAGTTTGTAAAAGCTTGCACTTCTCAAGCTTATATTTTTGACCCAATGACTACATGTTGTCTCATAGAAGGAGCTGTGCTTCTGTCTGTACCATTATTTTATCTAAAGTAGGTGGTGTTTATAGAGTAAGTTAATATTCCAGGCTGAAAAGCAGTGTTTTACTACCCTCTCTGGTTGAACGTTTCAGTTGGACCTCTGGCCACACCCAGCACAGCTGTGCATCTCCCTTTATCAGCGAGCAAGATGGTGATATTCTGGTCCTTCCTCATTGATGTCAGCAGTGATGCAAATGAGACTTTCACCCAATTCTGCCACTGTTTCTAGTAAGCTGTTTTTGATGACTGGTCACCAATATGTCTAGAAGATTCTCAGTTATGCTGTTAGTTAAATCATGGGATGCTGAGAAACATACTATACTTTATTTATATAGCACTTTTCTTAACAATGTTACAAAGTGCTGTACAAAAAAATAAATAATCAAAACCAAACAATGCAGATAAAATGAAAATAAGGAACATGAACCCAATAAAACAACAGAATGAGCAAGGACAAATTGGGGTTAGGGGGCCTTGCAGGTGGCCAGGAGGTCGAACTGGCACCTCTCTAGCTACCAGTCCACACACCATACTGCCAGCCCTGCATCATAAGATAATTCTCAAGTAACGAAAGTGAAGGCATGCATAAAAACAGTATAACACCACTAATCTGCTGCATCAGTCCGCCTGCATGATGTGCTGTTTTGCAATATGGGTTTCCTGTGGGCCTGATCACAATGGCGACACCTTGCGGCTCCTGTAACTTCATTGTCACTCTGTATTGGGTTGTAACTTCTTTGAGTAATAAGTTTAAAGTGTAGCAATCTTGCGATGAGTTTAATTCTCATTCAGTTTCAAAATAACAAAATATTAATTATTTAATTGAATAGTTATATATATATATATATATATATTCCTATATAGATCTTTCAACACAGGCGTATTTCAGAAGTTTCACCTAACACATTGTTGGAGGCCCTTCTCTCTATGGGCCCCCACAGGCAACTGCACTGTCTATATTTTTGCCCCTGCACACAAAATCTAAATCACTCTCAAATCAAATCCTGTCTTTGTTTTCGTTTGCCACTCTTTATCTTCCTTCCCACTAGTAACACTGGTGGCTTCATTAACTACTAAATACTGTAAAATGTATATTTGTTCTCAATTAACAAAGACAAAAGAGTTTATGATCAACTTTTCAAACACATCACTGCTTTTTAAAAAAAAAACCAACCTTAACTGTATGCCATGTTTTCATACTGTATATACCATCAGTGTTATTGGTTGTTGCTGTGGTTTGCAAGGGAAACTAAATTACAGAAACATCAGCTCTAATGAATTCATGTTTGTGTAAATTGTTAGGCTCTTTACATCCTACAGGCTATTGATGGCAGAATACGTGGTGGAGTCAGAAATCTGTGTTTTCTTCTTCTTTGGTCTTCTGATTTCCAGTGCAGCATAACACACATCTTCATCCTAAAATTTGACATATACATTGACATATATTGTTCTGAATCATAAACATGTACTCTATTGATGTAACACTGTGATTTACTACAATTCACTATTAAATGCTTTTGTATAAGTAATGTGTCTAATCTGTGCTGTGTGTGTCAAGCTGAAAAAATGGAAAGATGGCTGTAGTAAGAGATAAATGGAAACGTGGCAACTGACTGACATTTCCTATCATCGACATTTGGTCAAGGAAAAGCACAGGCGTAACTCGTAACTATTGCTGTCGTCCTGCAATCCGGACTTGAGACATTTTTTCTATTGTCTTGGACTTGTTGTGGACTCCCAAGACTTTGCACATGGCCATTGGTCTTGCCAAATATTCTCGTTGTCTCGACCAAGTCCAGCAATATATGTTTTTTTTCTGAGGTAACTTCCTCCTTCAAAGCAAAACCACTGATGAAGCAAGCTTGTTCAGAAAATGGGTATTGGTTTAATTCAAAATCCATCTAGAATGGGCATTGACACTGGCCACCTGGTACCATTACTAATCAATGTTACTTGATTACTGATGACTCAATTACTGTACATTGAGGTGTGCCAGTAAGCTATGTCAGTGAGACAACATGCACAATACCAAGTTGCAGCAATTACAAATACTTTTAGTTACACTTTTGTCTGATAATTCAAAATGTGTGCCATGTCTATACATAAAATACAAAGAATGATGTAACCTTCTTCTGTAAATTACCTCCTTCTCTCTTGTTTGGCCTCTGTTTTGGGGTCTTTGGGTCTCCGTTTTAGGTTCCTTAGCTGCTGACATGAATAAAACATCAGTGACACCCAACATCCCAAAGTACCGTAAAAGAAGCACTGGGTGACAAATTAAGCTAAAAAAGATAAAAGAAACAACAGATATTCTTGACACTAGAATAATAGAATTAACTGAATAAAGAGGGACTGAGTGGATTAAAGTGATACAACTGGTACCTTTTTTGTGACACAGGTGATAAACCAGAAGAACTGAAAGGAGTGAGGAGAGAACAGCAACAGTTGGACACAGAGAGAACAGCAGCATCCAGCACAAGGCACAGTCTTGTGTAATCAGGCATTGAGGCTCACTGGAGTCTGGATAAAACATAAAAGTTGGGTAAAAGTTGTGTCAATTAACCTGGTGTATTGTCTTAAAAATATAAGGAAAATTAAAAAAAACACACACATTTTTTTTTAATATTACTTGTAAAAGGTCCAGTAAACAAGAAACCCAGCTATCTGCAGGAACAAATACTTGTATTAAGATAATTCTGTTGGGTTCTGATGGACTTCTTCTACATTGGATTTTCACTCGGCTGCATTTCCATTACTATCTGAGTTTAGTATTGATGTTGGATAAAAAGTCCTGCAACCAGGTTCCAAACATTTGTGGAAAGCATTCTCAGAAGAGTGGAGACTATTATAATATGAATGCCCATGTTATGGGAATGAGATATGCAGGTGTAATATTGCCCATGTAATGTAACCAACGCAAAAAGAGAAGTCAGACCACAATAGGCTACCTACTGAATGTGATCCTTGTTGCAATGTTACCATATCTGTAATCATATCTTGTCGTAATGTATTTATCCTCCGCCACTATTTTCCGTTCAGTTCCACAGTAGTAAAGACCCTCATCAGAGTTAGTGGTGTTCATGATCAGCAGGTCATGGGAGTCAGAGGAACTGTTCCACACAAAGTGGAAATGAGCAAGAGGATTCAGAAAGCCTGAAGGGTGAGTGGTTTGTTTCCATGCATCACAATTTAGTTTGAGGACAAGAGAAGGCTGGTTCTCATGAGAGCAGTTTCTGTACCACACTATGTATACTCCACTTGATATTTTGCAGTCACAGTAGAGAGTGATGTTGTCTCCTGGTCTGACTGTCGCCTCCAACACTGGTCCAGAAATCCAACCATGACTATAAGAGACAACTCCTGGAATACAAACACAACCGTAAAAGCAGATTGAAAAACAGCCACAAAGCAGGTTGAAACGTTTCCAAAGTAAGTGTTTAACTAAAACGCAGGTTGCTGCTCAGTACGACAGCACTGAGAGTGTAGGTATGTAGATGTATTCATTGTCTAAATAGTATGAATATAATAATTTAATCCTCAATAATGTTTCTAAAACATACCCAGGAGAACGACGAGAAAAATATGTAGCCCATCCATATTGTGTGATGATGACCTGATGTAGAAAGACAGTGAAACAGGTCTTATACTAGTGGATGTCATGACCTGTGCAGAATTTTCCATTCAAGGAAATCTAAGTTGTGATTGGCTTGTTGAATGGAAAATTTTCTTCTGTGGTTGTTTTCTATTGGTGTGATGCTAACTGATGGTCTGAAGTGTAAAGCTTAAACATGGTTTCTTCAGATGACACTATCTTTCAATGGGGACTGAATCCTTACCATGCTTATGTACAGTATAATTGGTCTGTGTTATTACAGACGTGACTCGATGAATATAAACCAAACACAGACAACTTTCCAAAAATAGGGATAAGATAAAAGCATTTTTGTACAGTGGAGAGCAGCATACTTTTCTACGGAGCCCCCGAGGTGACATGAGAAAAAAAAAAAAAAAAAGTGACGAGAAAAAAAAAAAAAAAAATTCAAATTGAAAAAAAAAAAAAAAATTAAGAAAAAAAAAAAAAAAAAAGATCTCGACTTTGTAACTCACGATCTCGACTTTCTAACAGGAGAAAAAAATTAAAAAAAAAATAAAAAAAAATAAACAAAGCATTGCGAGACCTTGGCTTTGTAAGTCGAGATCTCGAGTTCAAACTTTCATTGCGCCACGGGGTTTGCTGCACCCTCTGACTCCCGCGTGCGTTATGTGGCGAGTATACCAGGCGCGTTAGACTCCTTGGTCCGTGTTTCAGGATGGGTCGGGTGGGTTGCCGACCTCGCCGCAGACCCCTGACCAGTGGTGAGTATTATCTGCAGAAGCAATAAAGCAACATTATGTAACTTTTTCTACTTTAAAATAACATCTTTAAAATCCTTTGTCATTCGCACTCTGTTCTTGCACCAACCTCATCACTGATTTGGGTGGAACTGGATCATATTTCATGGAGAAAGTGAGGAAGAAACCCACTTCTCCGCCTCAACACTTTTCAGTGTTTCTTCATGTTGCTGCTCTTAGATAGTTGCTTTAGCAGTCCTGGCCTGGACGCCTGGGAGTTCTGGTACATTGGTACTGGTACTTTGGAGGAGGACGTTTTCAGGCCCGGGGATGGAGGAAATGCTGACAGAGAGCTGTACCGGCATCATGCCAGAACTGGGTAATGTAAATGGGCTCAGCAGCTTCTATGGACATAGCTAATGGCAGAGGCAAAGACACCTAACAGGAAGGCCGAGGAAGCTAAGAAGAGGAAAGGAGAGAGGACATGAGTAAAGCGTAAAATTAAGGGCTGCATACAGACGTTGTCAGCTTGCGAACCTGATGTGTGTGTAAAGCGATACAGATCTTACTGTATTTATCTCACTAAAGACCCATATGCAAGGAAATGTGTTGAATCCTTGATGAATTGTTTTTAACCAAATTAATCTGAAATATTCAACTAAACTACTGAAAAGTTCATATTTTGGAAATGTGATGCTGCCATCAGACCATGACAATGAAAAACAATGCATCTTTGCCTTGACCTTGTCTTTCACCTCATAGAATATGTACTTGAAGAGTTAAGATGTTTCTTCTGATGTCAAACCTCCATGGTGATAACTTCTAAAAACTAATTTCTAATTTCTTCTCAAGAGGAAAAAGGAATAAAAATTCAGTGTGCATCTGAGGTTGTGAACACGAGTATGCATATTTGAAGGTGTGATCTGCTCGGCAACCACTGTTGCTCTGTCTGTTTGCTAACCACGTTTACACAGTTCAGTGTGACAGTTTGTGTCTGAATGAGAAAAAAATAATCTGATAATAGGAATGTGGATTATTTCTGTGTTTGCTCTGACAGAGAGCATTACTGTAAGGTGTTTTTATAATATGTTACTTGTAAAGGTACACCAAGGTAGATTTTTAGAAACTTTTAAAAAACCTTTTTAGGCCGTTTTTTTTTTTTTTTTTTTTAAATGGATTGGTATGGAATTTGGTAAAACTACTGAAAACTGAATAAATACTTTTGGCTCGCTGGTCATAAGCAGTACTTCATGATTAATGGCCATTCCAGCAGCTATACATATGCTACATAACCCAAAACAATTTGGTTTGTGACTGTCTGACAGATCCGTCTGCATGTTGAGCAGACAAACTGAATTGCAGTCCTGTGAAGTGCTGTTTGTCAGCGTTTCCTGTGACCCTCACTGATCACATGAGCTAAAGTACATGATGGCTACAATTCTGGGTTGTGCTATGACTTCTGGCAAATTGAGTGGCAGCATCCGGCATGTAAACGATGAAAAAAATAAACTAAGAAAGATTTTTATTCAGTTGAAAGTTTTGTGTGATATTTTTAATTATATTTAAAAAACATAATTTATATGTGAAATGCAGAAAAAGCTGCCAGTGAAGGATATATAGTATATGCTAGTGGTTAATTTGAGATGAAAACAGGACACTGCCTGAAATCAGTTCCATACAGACATAATACTAATAATAATAATAATAATAATAATAATAATAATAATTAATAATAATTATGGAGCACTCTTAAAAATCCGATTAGAAAGTGCTTCACACACTGTAATAAACAAAAAGGAAAAATAACATTGGGAATTCTAAGAGCTGTCGGATAACCCTTCAGGAAACTGAACACTTTCCATCTATAACATTATGTAAAGTTAATCTTTTGGGTGAGCGAAAACACATGCACCTGTCATATCTACTCTGCTTTAAATGCATAAGAAGAAAAGAACAAGAGTAAGTCCATATGCGGTTCGTACCACTGACAATGTGGACAATCAATAAATGACAACAGCAAGATATCTAATGCCTTCTGTCTGATTGGCAGTAAATTATTCCCTGCATCATTCATTTCAGTGAGAAAGCCTCTGTTGCATACTAATGGCCAATAAAGTCGTGATGTGTTTTTTGACAGAATGTTGCCTTTCTGACGTGATTGCTCAAACACTGAAATTGACCTGATGCTGTATGTGTGTTTCACATTTTTGTCATTGTTAACTGATACAAATCAATCAATAAAACTAAAATTATGAAGTAACTAATATGGTCATACTTATTAATCAGATGTGCTTTTACACTATGAACCCTCTGGAACCCTTTTCGGGTAATGACCTTTAAATCACCCCCAAAGCCAGAACAAAGACCCATGGTGAGGCATCTTTTTATCACTATGGGCCTCGTCTCTGGAAATTCCTTATTGTGTTTATATATTTTAATCATTTTCCTTTTTATAACTCTGTTTATTTTGTCTATTTATTTATTCATACATGTTAATCTGTTTTATTACTTTGTTCAGGTATTGTGCATCTGGATCAGTTTTATTTGGTATGTCCTTTTCTTTACCTTAGTTTTCATCTTTTTCTTGTTCTGCCTCCAGTGTTTCCTCACTGCAACTGGATGAGATAGCGTTTCCTCAGTTAATGTTTTTATTTAGTGTTTTACTGTTCACAAAACACTTATTACTTTTCCCTGTGTGTGTGTGTGTGTGTGTGTGTGTGTGTGTGTGTGTGTGTGTGTGTGTGCGTGTGCGTGTGCGTGTGTGTGTATGAGTGGGAGGTTTTTTAATGTGTGAAGCACTTGTGCACACTGTGGTACATTTTGTGCTATACAGACACTGGTGTGACGTAGATTCAGAAATAAACTACATGCATGTAGCTGAGGTGGATTTAGAGTTCTGCTGAATACTAAACAACATTAACATTAAAAACATCTAATCTCAGGCTTATGTCATCTCTCGGCAAAAGTGCTCGAGAGGGCTTTTAGGATGATCAACTTACTTGCATTGAGGTGATAATGTTTCCAAAGAACAATGAAGCTGTGCAGTACACTGTAGCTTCAGTCTGTTTGCATGTTAGGCTCTGCAGGTGAATGAGGGGCTTGTATCAAACTCTACTGGTGAAGGTGTCGGGGCTGATGGCTGACGTGAGATGAAAACAGGAAACTGCTATTATGATTGTTACAGAGAAGCAGCCATCACAACCATTATGAAAAGTGACAGAGCTATTTTATTTTAAAAAAAAACAACAGCTCATAAATGTTTATATAAATAAATAAAGAAATAAGATACATGAGATATATATACACACATCTATTTTGTGAAGAATGGATGAAACAATGAAAAACAGTGGGTGTGGAATTAACTGATGCTCAGAATAAAACTCTTTGTCACCCTTTCCAACAACAAACTGTGTATAGTGTTTGTCAGGCAGGCCACAAAGTCAAGCTCAGCTCACAATCCCTGCTACATCAGCTGATTCCCTTCAAGCATACAATTGGAAAAAGTAATTCAAGGCACCTTATTTACGCTGCTTTAGCCTGCCTACCCTTGCTGCTTCCTCTGCAAGACACTTTGCAACCAGCCTTCATCACAGCTCTTTCTTTTACACTGTGTCTGATTTTATCATTGGTGCCTGCTCTGTTCTGTATGGAAACGTATTGCATTCACTTTAAAATTATTTTTGGGGTTTTTCAGAGTAATTTTTTCAGATTTTCTGAATAATTATTTCTTCTGTTTTTCTGAGTTTAGAGAGCATTTGAAACAATAGACACATTCATTCCTTTATTGAGAGCTTGATTTAACAGAAACAAACATGACCGGCTTGTTTAGTTCAATCAAGTTTTACTTTGATCTGGGTTTAAGACACTGGGAGATAGTCCTGTCTTTAAGTCATATAGATGGTATTATCATTAGTTTGTCGACTCTAAGCAGGCACCTGAGGACTTTGTAGTCAGGGAGTCACTTGCAGGTTGGAGGTTCTCGCGGGAGTTCGAAGGATCTCGGTAATTCAGAAAAAAAATTACTCCGAAAAACAGGGGGAAAAAATTTGTCAGAAAAACAAGTGAATACAATATGTAGTTCTGTACCCTTTGCTGCTGCTGTCCTTGCCTTAAGCTTTCCTTGTATGCACATGGAAGAACTTGAAGATGTGCTCTGGTGGCATGGCTCTGTTCTGGTACCACCCTGCCCCTCCACTTGCATAGGTGGAAAGACACCTGGTTCACACCGCCAACCTGAGCAGAGTGCGATTGGCTACACCGCTGCATAGCTGTGTCTGCAGTGTTCCATCAACAGCGTGTCAGCTGTGGAGCTGCTGCTGCCAGCCCAATCTTTCTATGAATACTGAATTTTCCTTTCATAAATACCATACAATACAAGCCTTGTTAACATATGAATGGATTCTGTCAACAAAAATGCCAGAGAGCTTTTAATCTCACACAGACACAGGAGGTGTTGAGTTTAAAAAATAGGCTACATTCTTTTCCATGTCTGTGACATATTCTACACATATAGACAAACAGTAGTGAAAGGTGAAGGCTATCTGTTCCAGGTATATTGTCGATATGACTATGAACAGACCCTTTTCACTTTCTTTTGCTGGGAACCACGCATGGCACATGAAAAAATAGGTGAGACCTCGACTTTCTAGTGAAGCGTTGCTGCAGCCGCAGCCGAGACGTGTGAAACGCCCGCAGTGTGACTGCTCTAATCTCTTAACGTGGGTGTAGATGCCTCACCCACACGCTGCTCAGGTAGGTAGTGTGAACGAGCTAAATTAGATGTATCCTCAGAGGAGGATTGACACAACAGTTTAGTATCTACTTTTCCAAAAACATCATTGCTTTTTTCACCTTAAAACACACAGAAAACATTGTACATTTACATTATGCATTAAATTTTTTCATATATATGTTGTAAATAACAATGACTGTTATCATTAGCTTTAAATGGAGACAGAATGGTCTATATGAATTCTAGGATTAATTATCAATCACCATTACGCATTTCAATTTTTTGTACTTGTTTGTTTTAGACCCCCTACATCCTAGAAGTCTTGATGGCAGAATACATGCTGAAGTCTTCTTCTTTCGTTTTCTTCTTCTTTGGTCTTTGTGATGGTTGACGGATATCCAGTGCGGCATAACACACATCTTCATCCTACAATTTGACATTTGTTGTTTAGAATCATGCTCATGTAGAAATTTAAGGCCATGATTTATTATACTTTACTGTTACACCTACCTGATTCAGTCTTGTTTGACCTCTAGTTTCAGGTTTTTGTTGATCAACTTGACGTTCTTTAGCTGCAGACGTAAACACAACATCATGGTACACCAAATCTCACAAAACACACTGTATACAAAAGAGGAGAATTAACTGAAACTAGCTTTCTTTTTCATTAACACATTAAGCTTAATAAGTGAGATATGTGAGTTACCTTTTTTCTGACAGATGTGATAAACCACGAGTGAGGAGAGGAGAGAGGAGAGGACAGCAAAAGCTGGACACAGAGAGAACAGCAGCATCCAGCACACACTACAGTCTTGTGGAGTCTCCGTGTGATGAGGCTCGCTGGAGTCTGAATCACAAACAAAGTTGTGTCAATTAGCTTCTTTAAACTCTGATCTTACAAAAAGTTTGTTTTTCATTTTCCTGCAAACATTTTTAAGTGTAGGTGGACATAAGTGTGGTTGTTCCATAACAACAGGTACCCAAGAAAAATACTGTTTAAATCAAATATAGAGGAGTTTGTAGAAAATTTAAGTTTTGATTTAGCAGAAAAAAAAAGTTCTTTATTGCTATTCTTATTTGTTCTACCTAGACCTATGCTCAGACCCTGCCTCAGTGAAAGACGTTTCTCAACATCCATTTCAGAATTACCCTCGAAGCTCGAAGCTCATTCTTGCAAAAAGCACGTTTATCTTTAACCATGTTTGAACCTGTTCTCTCAGATTTCAAAAAATTATCCCAAAAGACACACAAACAATATTGGGTGCACACAACAGATAAACTAGGTCCCGTATTTGGCATGCATTATGTATAAAAAATGATATACACTTCATTGATGCACATACAATATGTTGTATGTATGCTGTTGTGTGGTAGACTTTATGATGGTTCATCTATTTGATCATTATTAGCAATATTCATTATTATGTAGTCAAATGATTAAATTCACTGTAACCACAGTCACACAGATATCTCTCTATCTCGGGACAAGACAATTCAGACAAGCGCACTTACTGACTATGATCCCGATCCTTGTTGTGACGTTGCCATATCTGTAATCATATCTGGGAGTGATGAATTCTTTGTCCTCCACCTTGATCTGTTTAGTTCCACAGTAGTAGAGACCCTCATCTGCATCAGTGACGTTCATGATCAACAAGTCATAGGAGGCAGAGGAATGGTTTCTCACAAATTGAAAACCAGGGAGAACGGTTAACACATATAATTCAAGTTTTGATTCAAGGACAAGAGAAGGCTGGTTCTCATGAGAGCAGTTTCTGTACCACACTATGTATACTCCACTTGATAATTTGCAGTCACAGTAGAGAGTGATGTTGTCTCCTGGTCTGACTGTCACCTCCAACACTGGTCCAGAAATCCAACCATGACTGTAAGAAACAACTCCTGGAATACAAACACAATCGTAACAGCAGATTGAAATGTGCTCAGTGTTACAGGATTTCACATTACAGCAGGTCCAGTTTTCTGCTCAACCCAACAGCAATGAAGTAACATAGGTGTGAATTATTCTCAAAACTGAATGTAATAATAACAATTTTTAATAAAAAGAATTACCTAAGAGAACAACCAGACAAATTTGCAACCTGTCCATGTCTGACGATAGCCAAGGGTTAAAAGACAGTCAAACAGTTCGTTCTCACAGATGTCATGCAGACTTTTCCATTCAAGGAAGTTTAGGCTGTGATTGGCCAGTCAGGTGGAAGATTTTTTTGTGTGGTTTTTTTCAGTTGGTTTATGGCTATGTGACATTCTGGGCACTGATGTTTCCTCTGTGAATTAAAAAGTCAACTCATAATGTTGTTACATTGTAAATTGTTGAATTATTGTAACTATGATGCCTGTCACCATTTTGAAAAATGAAACAGGACTAGATTTCAGTAGCAGCTCTTGGTGAGACAAAAGATATATATATATATATATAGAACATATAATCACATGGGCTGCAACTTTCAATTCCTTATCTTAGAGTAGGCCAAGTATCAATGCTTACCAAAATGACGTACAGTACATGACAGTTCCAGTTACTCACATGAACATTTTCTGATCTGCCAAACTCAACATACAAACCCAAACCTGTTTGAAAGAGATTTTAAGATTTGAACATATAAGAAACATATGTTTGTCCACACTTCCACTAGACATCGCTCATATTACATTACGGAATATCTGAGCCACGAGGTCAAAGTGTCAAAGCTTCATTAACTTGTAACGTGTATGTGCACGTGTATACATCTGGACTGATGTCTGCATTTCAAGGTGTGATTCTACACTGATATAAGCTGTTTAGAGGGTTGGAGTGTCTGAACGAGAACAAAATCTGCCCTTGATGATGGTAAATTTGTATATATAAAAATATTCCATATTTGCAATATATTTGAACATATTCTCTATTTTATATTTTTTCTATATTTTTATACTAATCTACAATATCGCATCTTTTACTTTGGCTATTCGCCTTTTTTGTTACCAGGTCATTCTGCGTACACAGCACATTAACATGGACACACACTGTTTTTCTCCGCTTTGAGAAAAGAAAATATATTAAACAAAGATCCTCAGAAACAATTGATTGTTGATTTTAATGTATTCATCCCTTCTTTGGAAGGACCAAATCGGATAATCAATTTAAGATAAACAATGACGAAGTGTTTCTAAAGGCGTTTACTTCAGTTCAACAGCCTTCATTAAGTCTAATTTAAGGCTCAATAAGTATGTTTTTGACAAAATTTAAGGTAGAGTCATGTGAGATATTTGCATAATAAAACATATGTATAGGGTTTGCTATACTGGGTGTGGAAAAAACCTTTGTCTGCAGGTTTTAGAATATTCTATCTAATATGAGGAACACACTGAGCATTAGTCATTCACTCAAAATTAAAATAAATAATCAATAAACTGGTGATGCACCCACTGTAAGTAAGAGCACCCTTTGCGCTTTTGGATTAAATTTTAGTACCTCAAGCCTGGGAGGTGATTAGCAGAGTGTGGACAGTGGTCACTGCAGAATTATTTACAAAGAAACAGCCTCTGCCCAAAATAAGGACCAATACAAATAGTGACACATGTACTAATCAGGAAGGATGACACCCAGAATAACAAACTCATAAAAAGAGGGAGCAGACTGTGCTCGGGGGTTGCTGATCCAGCAGAGCTTTCGGGTGAAGCAGATCTGACTCACAGCTGTGTTGTTTTATATATTCTCTCAAATAAAAGAAGTTGAGGATTAAACTTCCTTTAAGGTCCTATCTCAAACAAAGAACACAACAGTCACATACATAGTTGAAGAGCTTTAGCTATAAATTGTATGTAAGTATGTGAGCCAATCATACTAAAATATTGGCTAGTTTTTTGTTTTGACTTTTGCTGGTGAGGTGCCCATTTTCACTTACCATGCTGATAATGACACTTCAGTAGCAAGGACCACACCACCAGCAAGATATGTTTAAATGATTTATTAACAAAATGAAAAGATTGTGAATGAAGCTTAAATTATTGTACTACTTATTGAGGCCCTTTTGGTTTCTTCTTATCATCTCCACAAGAGGTCAGAAGAATTTCACCTGGCGCTGGTGTGGTTAACTGTTCAGACATTACACCATCAGCCTTCTTCACCCCTCTCTGTTTTTCCCAGAAACACTTTTGTGTTCTAGAAGTCGTGTTTTTCACCATACTGACCCTCACTGAAAGTTATTGTAAATTGTATATGACTATATGTATATGGGTAAACATCTAGATGAATATAAATATTTGAATAAGTCAAAAAATTATCATCCATTATACATTTAAAAATGCCACAAGATGTTATTTAGATACAAGGATGCAGACAAACAGCATATTTTTAGTATAACCCCACTCTGACCATGATATCTGTGTATAAAACCACATTCTGCATTTGTCTGTGAACAAGTACCACTCGCACAAAGCGCAACCAGAGCTGACCTCATTTTACCTCACGAAGTTGGGATGTGGTCACTGATATGACGTAGATTCAGAAATCGACTGTATATGTAGCTGAGGTGGCTGCAGAGTTCTGCTGAAGGTTTGGCCTGACTGTACTTCCAAATGTCAAAATCTTTCCAATGAGCCAGTTGAGACAAACAATTTGTAGCATTTTTTTCTAAGAACCTAAAATATTTCAATGTGTACAGGATTTAAGTGACAGTATGTGTAACCTTTATGTGCACGTTAAGTTATCTTAAGTTAGTTGAAACAACTGTATCACAATCACAATTCTATTTACAGGGTATTGTTATTATTAATATTACTACTAATACTATTACTGCTATTATTATTAGGGCCCGAGCACTGACTGTGCCCTGAACATGTCTATGTGATAATATTCAGTAATAGTGAGAGCGCCACCTACTGGCAACAGGAAGTAAGCGCTGCGTGGCGATTTTGATCAGATTTACGTGAAATTTTCATGTTGTGGTCCGCACGTTCTAGGGCCCGTTCGAGGGCCCTCTTATTACTGCTTGAAGTTTAAATTATTATTATTATTATTTGTTTGTAAGGTTTACAAGGGAACATTTTAATATCTCAGTTCAACATTTTAAATAATAAGAAAAAATAAGTCTTTGTCACCCTTTTCTTTATAGACCATTAACACTGATGGCTCCATAAATTACAGAAAAATGACGAAAAACAACACAAGTATAAACTATAACTACTAATAAATTCAACATACAATTTCTTATGTGAAATTGTCCGGTTCATCACATGAAACAAATGTTGATGGCAGAATAGGTGCTGAAGTCAGGACTCTGTTTTCTTCTTCTTTGGTCTCTGTGATGCCTGACAGATGTCCAGGAAGGAACACACCTTCATTTTAAGATTGTTTACTGATGGAATAGTATGATTTGTTTTAAGTTACTGCAAACACTTATATATTTTCTTTGTATATAACAAAAAAACTCACCTTCTTGTTATTCATATATAATGATGCGAAGAAAGAGAGTATCTTTATCATCACCTCATAACGCCATCTCTGTATGAAACACCCACACTGAGTAGGTATACACATATATTTTGTGTTATGGTCACTGATACGATGTCAGAAATAAACTGCACATCCAAATGCAGCTGTGGTGGCTGCAGAGTTGCTAAATTCTGGCTTTGTTGTATACTGTATGCTTTAACACTTCGAGCTAACAGTCAGTGAAGATGTACTGTTCACAGTTAACTCTGAACAATGAAGCTGTGCACTACCCTGCAGCTTGAGTGTGTTTGCATGTTAAGCTCTGCAGTCGAATGAGGGGCTGTTTGTCTCTGTGGGTTTCCTGTTAACCTTAATGATAACACGGTGGGCGAGGTTACTGTCAACTCTGTATTGTCATGTAACTTCTCGGACACACTTTTTCAGTGAAGTGGTCCGATGGCTAACTTGTGATAAAAACAGGAAATGGCCTTAAAATAAATTGAAGCTGAACTGTAACAATAAAAACACAGTTTTCTGGAAGTTGTTTTTGTTATTTTTTTAGTTTTAGAGCACATCATGTAATATGCTATTTATTTTTTAACATACATACATGAAATATATATACACACATTTATACAAAAATATTCTGGGAAGAATGGATGAATTCACATAGACTGTGGATTATGACACAGTGTGGATAGAACAATATGAAACAATGTAAAACGGCAGTGTTTAACAGCAATTACATATAATATATATATACATACATATATATAAAAAAGAATAAGTAACGGATAACATCCTGAATTCACTGATGCAAAGAATAAAACTCTTTGTACATACCATTTATCTCATGTATAATGTCATAGATAACAGTGATTGTTGCTCAGCTTTAAGTTTTTAGTAGATAACTGACAGAATGGTCATGTTTTTGTTTTTTGCACTTGTTTGTTTTAGACCCTCTACACCCTAGAAGTCTTGATGGCAGAATACGTGCTGAAGTCAGAACTCTGGGTTTTCTTCTTCCTTGGTCTTCGTGATGGCTGACGGATTTCCAGTGCAGCATAACACACATCTTCATCCTACAATTTGACATTTGTTGTTTAGAATCATGATCATGTAGAGATTTAATGCCATGATGTATTATATGTTACTGTTACACCTACCTGATTCAGTCTTGTTTGACCTCTAGTTTCAGGTTTTTGTTGATCAACTCGACGTTCTTTAGCTGCAGACGTAAACACAACATCATGGTACACCAAATCTCACTAAATACATTAAAAGAGGAGACTTAATTGAATCTAGCTTTCTTTGTAATTTAAATGAATTCAGTATATTCATTATTAAGTCTACTTCTGACATTAACACATTAATTTTAATAAGTGAGATATGTGAGTTACCTTTTTTCTGACAGATGTGATAAACCAAGAGTGAGGAGAGGAGAGAGGAGAGAACAGCAAAAGCTGGACACAGAGAGAACAGAAGCATCCAGCACACACTACAGTCTTGTGGAGTCTCCGTGTGATGAGGCCTGCTGGAGTCTGAATCAGAAATTAAGCATAGCGTTAGTTCAGGCAGGCCACAAAGTCAGGCTCAGCTCTCAATTCCTGCTATATCAGATGATCACAGCTAGTCGTAAACACACATCAGCTAATGGCTCAGATGATTCCTCCTAAGCTTCCTACTGGAAACC